CCTCAAGGAAATCTACTTTCTCTGCAACTTCTTCCAGTCTGGAATCCAACTTCACAACCACAAAGGCCAATCCTGATAAAGCTGCAACTATGTCTTGCCTCAAAATAGTATTATTGTCCTCTAAAAGCACCTTCATTTCCTCTTTAGTTTCAGATTTGTTCTGTTCAAGGAGATCTTTATTCTGTTTAAAAAGATCTTTCATTTCCTCTTTACTTTCAGACTTGCTCTGTTCAAGAAGTTGCTTCATTTCCTCCCTGATTTGAGATACAGCATTATATCTTTAATGTCTTGTGCAGACAAACCTGGCAAGGGAGGAGAAGATGGAGGTGTAACCTTAGGTTGCAACACTGGTGGTGTAACTTTAAGTTGTTGTTGTACAGTTGCAATTGCAGGAGAAGAAATCACCTTAGAGACTATAGAAGCTGGTTGTCTCTTTGAAGCCATTTTTTTTTAAAAATCTTATTCTCTCTTTCCTTCTTCTTAAAAAAAAAAAAGATACTAAAATCCTTAAAAATTAAAAAAAAAAAAGACCAGGGAGAGTGCAAAAAAAAAAGAACTTCCAAAGCACTTTAAAACAAAAAGGAAAAAAGAAACTTAAAAGAGCATTTAAGTCCGTTCTTTTTTTCCGGAAAGGAAAAAAAAAAAAAAAGCACTTTCAAAACGCCATTTTACTTTCACTCTCACTCTCCACCAAAAAAAAAGAAACAGAAGAAAAAAGAATCAACATAAGCTAAAAGAAAAATGAAAAGAAATAAAACTCTAACTCTAAGTAAAATCCTTTAAACAGTTCTGTCCGCTTTAAAAATCACTCACCAGAAAACTTTAAGCGCGGAGATGGTAGCGGCGTTTCACTTTGTTTCCGAAGAAACAAAGACAGCTGGGAGGCGGAGAAAGCACGAACTCCGAGGGAACACTCTTTCTACCCCCCAAAAAAAGAAATCCAGGGGGGGTTAAGAGGTTCTACCTCTATTCGTGTAGTCTCTACCCCTTCCCTTCGCCCGGGAAGGGGATTTCGAGCCGCGGGCCAGCTGATGCGCGCTGTGCTCCGCAGATCTGACGCCGTCCCAGGAGGACGGCTACAAAGTAGCCGCCATCATCGTCGCTGACCACCGGAAGCTCTTGCCACAGTTGTTAAGTGAATCATCACAGTTAAGTTAGTAACACGGTTGTTAAATAAATCTGGCTTCCCCATTGACTTTGCTTATCAGAAGTTCATGAAAGGTAATCCCATGACCTCGGGACACTGCAACTGTCATAAATACGAGTCAGTTGCCAAGTGTCTGACTTTTGGTCACATGACCACAGGGTCATAGTGTGAAAAACCATCATGAATCCCTTTTTTCAGGGCCATTGTAACTTCAAACAGTCACTAAACGAATGGTTGTAAGCCGAGGACGACCTGTCCACTGTGAGATTAAATGGAGCTAGTTGAAGACATTTTGAAAGGTGTAAATACTTAATGCTCCAATTGAAAATGATTTGATAAATGGTGACTAAGCAAACCATGGGATCTCATAGCGTAGGAGCCAGCCTACGACTTAGGGATCATAATGGCCATTACAAGGATTAGTGCAGTAATTATCTAGAAATGCCTGGCACGGTCTCCAGCTTCTGGAGCAATGTTTCTCAACCTTGACAATTTTAAGGCATGTGGACTTCAATTCCCAGAATTCCACAGCCAGCATTGCTGGCTGTGGAATTCTGGGAATTGAAGTCCACATGCCTTAAAATTGTCAAGGTTGAGAAACACTGTAATCTGGAGGAGTCTTGTCTCTTCCAGGGTTTTTGAAGCCTCCAGGTTACTTGATGAATGCTCTATGCAGCATTCGGCTCCCTCTCTTAATAAAGCTTGGAGGGCAGGAACCATCTTTGTTTACATTAGAGTAGCCCGTAAGGGAAGCCTTTTGCTTTGTTAAGAAAGGCTGCTGGCTCCTTGGCTAGAGGTACTTTAATCTGTGGTAATGAAGAAATGAAATACAAAGCTGTCCAGATTGCTTGGTTTGGAACCCAGGTGGCTCCTTTTCTGTTTCAAGGTTAATTTCGGGGCCTCATAGAGGAGGTGGGAAAAAAATCCACTTCTTCCTGCTTGACTGCATAGCACTCTGCTAGGTCATTGCTCAGGCAGTAACGCCAAAGCACATCATACTACAGGATGCCAGCTGGCTCAGAGCAATTTTGTTTTGCTCTTCAGCTTCCCTGTTGGATGAGAAGAGACTGTACACTACAAGCTGTTCGTTCCTCTTTCCACGCAGGGCAATGGGAATGGGACTGGTATAAAATTGAAATTTTCAAAAAATAAATAAATGCTTGCCTGCCTCTTCCTTATTTTCTCCCAGGCTTTGTTCTTCCCCTGCTTTCAAACTTCCGCATTTCTGTATTTTCCTTTTATGAAGAGTTTTGAAAAGAAGGTTAAAAAAAAAAAGAACCAATATAAAGTAAAGAAAGAAAAAAAGGACAAAAATAAAATGAAAAGAAATAAAAGCAGCTTCCCATTTTACAGACATTTCATTACCCAAACTAGGTAAGAGTATCATCATCATCATCATCATCAAACACATGATAATGTTACCTAATTTGGGTAATGAAATGTCTGAAAAAAAACAATCAAGCTCAGAGAGCACAAAGGATCTCAAAATTCAGTCCTGAGCTACAAATATTCTCTTATAAATATAACTACAATTACAAAATTACCTTTTACTCTATGGTTACAAAAACAAAAGCTTTTTGTTTGTTTGTTTTCTAATCATCAAAACTATAAAACTTTAGTTCATTTTTTTTTCCTGTTCATGCAAAATGTCCATAGGGGGTTTCTGGTGAGCAATAAACTTAGATATTGTCTTTTCCCTAATCAAGGAAATTAGTTTGGCCTTTGCATTTTCACTCTACTTCTGTCTTTCTAAAGACTGGAACCTTGTTTCTGAGGTAAAGCTGAGATACCACGTATATGTGGTCATCTGAAATTCCCTTAAGGGGGTCCCAACTGTGCTTATTACGCTGCTCCTGGGAGGAGTGGGAGTTGTCTGATGCAAGCCAGAGTGTTTAGTTTTGCTGACAAATGCTATTATCTTTACTAAGTAGTTGCAAAAAGTTAAGCAAGCTGGCAGAATTTGAAAGGATTGAAAAAGAATTGGTAACTTTTTGGTAGCAATCTCTTTTTTTATGACTTCAATTCTTTGATATGGTTAATCGAATATTCTAGAATAGATTCTGTGAGAATCTAGCTCTATTGCCTATTATGGTGGAGGGATTTTGGAAATCCATCATATCTGGATAGCACCATATTGAAAAAGGATAGTGTGCAACCTTTGTCATGTTTTAAAATAGGTCTCTAGTGTAAAGTGGGCTAGGAGGCTGCGGCATTTAATTGTCTTACAGACGGCTGCTTTCTTTCTTGAAGAACAAGATTTTGGAATCTAAGAATGCAAAAAGATGACCCTTTAAATTAAACCTGGTATGTTTTAGGAGCACCACCTGAATATCCTTGGGCAGCCCAGCAAACTTGTAACTAATATTTGTTGGGGCTGGAGAGCAATTTAATGCTCATTCCACAAAAAATAACAGGATTATTTTGCAATGTTAATTTGCCTAGAACTCTGACCATTTGATTTTTTCAGATTTAGGCTTGTCTTGTTTACATAGCGTCACTGATGGGATCTTCTTTTCATGCTTAGTTTTGTTGTTTTAACTTCTGAATCCTGTTCTCAGAAAGGTATGTACTGTATTGGGAGGGTTTTCCATTTTCTGTGAAGTTACTAGAGGAGGCAATGTGGCTTCAGCTGGAAGAAAGTCTGAACAGATGCAAACCATCATTGTTTTACTCTCAAATCTTTTAATCAAAGATGCATTTATTTTAAAAAATTACTTCCTTCCCATTGTTATAATATTCCAAATATTGAGGATGAGCTGGCAATGGAATAGCTAAGATGTCGAATAAAGAATCTAGAGATATAGCAGTCAGGCTAGAAGAAAGGATGAAACTTGCTGATCCACTCTGCCTCCCATTTCACTTTTCCATTCATTCTTTCTTTCAGTTGTAAGCTAGACTTGGGGGGATGGGATGATTTCTAAGCCTTCTTTAGAAAATGATATTTTCAACACTTTCCTGAAACGGTTTCTCTGTTGTAATTCTCTCGTCACCCACGTTGATGCTCTAGGTCAGGGGTAGGCAACCGTGGCTCTTTTATGATTCATGGACTTCAACTCCCAGAATTCCTGAGCCAGCCATGCTGAGGGGAAAGGGAGAGGTTTCCATGCTGAGTCATACTGGTTCAGGAATTCTGGGAGTTGAAGTCCACGAGTCATAAAAGAACCAAGGTTGCCTACCCCTGTTCTAGGTATCTTTCCCTCAATCATAAATGTGGTTTCCTAGGTTTTCCAATTTTGGCGCTCTTCAAACCTATCCCATTATTGCTGCCATTTCTTACCACCACCTTTGCTTTATGTATTTTTGAACCCATTCTAAATATTGTATGTAAGCACGTAGGCAGCATTTGCAGGAAAAGTTTCCTGCTTTAATATTTCCTTGTTTTGTTTTGCTCTCTCCAGCTCTTAAGTCATTGCCCCTTCCCAGCTATTGTTAAAAAGAATGTTAGGGAACCCAAATAAAATTAGAGGAAGAAGTGTGGCTTTTTTAAAACCTGCCGGCTGCTTGTTGTCTGAAGAAATTTCACAAAGAGATGTTGATAAAGGAAAAGATTGAATACAGTGATGGGAATAGAACTGATTTGCTCAGTAACTACCAGTAAGATAGAGAAGATGATGACCCTACAGCAGGGGTGTCAAATTCGCAACGTCATGTGACGTGTTGCGACGTATCACGACTTTTTCCTCATTGCCGGCAATGGGGTGGGTGCGGTTTTGGCATGATGCATCTGGCCCGTGAACCAGTGGTTTGACACTCCTGCCCTACAGTATCCCAAATTGTGTTCCATTTGCTCTGGATGAACTGAGGATGACGTATGACCAGCATCTCTAACCAGTTTTTCCTTCTCCTCCCACAGATATGCACCCTTCTTTTTGGCAGTCTCTACATCCTGTGCTACTTCATCTTAACCTACTTCAAAAGGCACACAGATTTCACTACAGGTAACTGGGCAAATCAAGGTCATGTCTCCCCTACCTGAATGGGCAACTTTCAGTGCCAAGAATTCTCAGCAAAGGCCAGATCTACCAGGAGCTGAAAGCATCCGTCCAGAAGATATCTAGGTTTAGGAAAGCTGTTCTGGGTACATGGTTTCAGAAGGCAGATTTATTTATTTGTTAGATCCCCAATTTTGTTAGATGCCTTTTCTTCAGGAGTGTAAGTTTTTTTGTCATGTTTCCCAGGAGCAACAAACCTTTGGTGTGGGCTGGGTTGAGAGAGAGGGACTGGCCCAAAATCACCCAGGGAGTTGAAGATAGACTGGAATCTGAGTCTCCCCTTTGTCATTCCAAGTCCTGAACCACTATACTACACCACCACTGAAATTGTGGAAGTCATGTAGGGCATGACTTTTTAGAGTTTAGGGGTGAATGAAGCTAGCAGTTTCCCTTGATTTTACAGTAAGATTTCCAAAATATGTGTCCTGCTCAACTATAACAAATCAACTGAGTTCACATTGCACTAAATGCTCTTGTTTAATCCTGGCTTTGCTGAACAGCCCATAACTTAAACTCACCAAGGTTTAAAAACTACAGTGGCTGAGTTCACATATAGTATTACATTATGTCAAAATTAGGCAAATTGCTTGATAGCTTAGCACAGCGTGGGAATCCAGCCTTCTGGTATGCCTGTGTTCAAAGGGAACATCTCTGCTGCAACAACATTTGCATTGGCAAAGGTTTGACCTTTCCAGGCAAAACTCTCTCAACTAGATGAACACCAGAAAGTCATTGGCTGGATTATTACTTCTACAATTCCCAGAAGGAAAACCAGTCCCATGTCAACACTATCATAGCTGTAATTCTGGTAGAACCAGGAGGACATCAGATTGAGGAAGATTGTATTGGCATAAAGTCTTGGATGCTTCTGTAACAGCCAAATTAATATTTGCCTTCCAGCAAAGAACCTATTTGTTTGACCATTAACATCTTTGTCAGCCAGAGTGAAACTTGATGATCTTCCGTAACTTTTCTCAACTGCTTTTATGAGCCTCAGAGCATCTATCTCAAACTGGTGATTAAGCCAGCTGATTTTAGCAGGCAAATGTCCCTTTGCAACCTCCTGGAGCCTATAAATTGTTCACAAAGCAACGGATGAGTGGACTCTGTGGGCTCCCTCTGGTTAGCTCCCTCAGGCTTCAACTAACTTCTATGCAGAATGCCTGCAAATGAAGCTTCTGGAGACAATACACCCTCTCTGGCCCAAATGGAAAGATTTCTTCCCCAGAGTTCTCCTGCTTTGCAACACATTGAGGTCTCCACACCCAGTCCCTGTAGAAGGGCTTCTTCATCTTTTAAATTAAAGTTTGTTTATGCTGCTGCTAATTTAGTTGCCTTGGTAGCAGTTGGCCTAGGGAATATAGTTCTTTTTCCAGCTTAGCAATTTTCCAATTGCTGGGCTTGTAGTTTGATGCTGACACTTATTGGGCACAAGGAATATGAGGAAACGGTGAGAAGTGGCCACTTTTAAAATCCATTTGCAAAGACAATCTGGTTTTACTCCTGTACTGTAACGTTACATTTTTCCTAGATAGATAACTACAGCATAAGGATTCCCGCAAAACTTTCCTTGTGCTACTGTACTCTACACAGCTGGGTATCAGATTCATAAGGATTTTTTTATGTGTGCAGTTCTAACCAGCCAGTCTGTGGTCCTCTGCCTGGAGAGAGGCACCATTCACCGCTCTTCCCTTAGAGCAGTGGTTCTCAACCTGTGGGTCGGGACCCCATTTGGGGTCGAACGACCATTTCACAGGGGTCACCAAACAACGCAGTCCGCCATTTTTCCCCCCTTTTCCTTAGCTGTGCTAGTCCCTTTTATTCTATTGGCTTTTGAAAGCCAATAGAATAGACTCTCTTGAATAGAGTCTAATTCTATTGGCTTTCAAAAGCCAATAGGAATTGTCCAGGCGTCTCTGCCCTGCTGAGCCCGCCAAAAGTCCCATTCTGCAAACGGTGCTGCACCAGTTGAGTAGTCCTCGACTTACGACCGGTTGAGTAGTCCTCGACTTACGACCGGTTGGGGGTCGCGGCATTAAAAAGGTTGAGAACCACTGCCTTAGAGAACTGCATACAGAACACAACTTCTGTATAGAATTCTTTATATTTCAAGGAAACCACCTTTGAGGAGGGTTAAATGTATCTGCAGATTGGGGGGGGGGGGAGAAAACAGACTATATCCATCTCCTTGCAATAGGGAACAGAGAGTACCAAAAACTTCTCTATAAGGGTTTTTTCTCCCTAACTGATTTGAACAGTAGATTCTGTCATCCGTAGTCAACCAGCCTGTTCAGATTGTTTGAACAAGTTTTCCTCCTCAGCTGCATATTTTATAATTGATTATGGTGGACAAGAAGTAACTTCTGCTAACCCTGGGGAATTCCTCTCCTAGCCTACTTTCTTCTCTGTTCCCACTGCATTTATAATGTATATTACATTTCACCCTTGCATAAGAAGTCGTGGTTTTGCAGTGAGTAGGGACACTTTGCCCCAAAGTGTCCCGAGGTGGGTTTAAAGGGTTGCCTTTGTTTCACTGGGATTCAAGCAGGTCTAATATAAAATGTTTTGTGACCAACATGGAATACTGTAAAAACTAAATGCCGTCTTTACGCTTCCTGTTAGGATTATCCCATGTATGCTGCAATTAAAAGTTTGTCACTGGATGACACAAATTCAGATCTCCACTCCCCCGTGGTAGTGGGTGGTAATACTGTAGGAGAAGCTTAGAGCGATGACTACGCTAGACTGGCAAGATGAACCATAGACGTTATCTTGAATTCTTTGGCAGAACTGCATTAACAGAGGGATAGAATCAAGATCACACTTGGAATACTGCATCCAGTTTTGGTCACCATGATGTAAAAAAGATGTTGAGGCTCTAGAAAGAGTACAGAGAAGAGCAACAAAGATGATTAGGGGACTGGAGGCTAAAACATATAAGGAACGGTTTCTGGAATTGGGTATGTCTAGTCTAACGAAGAGAAGGACGAGGGGGGACATGATAGCAGTGTTCCAATATCTCAGGGGCTGCCATAAAGAAGAGGTAGTCAAGCAACAGATGGAAACTGATCAAGGAGAGAAGCAACTTAGAACTAAGGAGAAACTTCCTGACAGTTAGAACAATTAACCAGTGGAACAACCTGCCTCCAGAAGCGGTGAATGCTCCAACACTGGAAGTTTTTAAGAAGAGATTGGACGGCCATTTGTCCGAAGTTTTTAAGAAGAGATTGGATGGCCATTTGGGCTAAATTACCTCCAAGGTCCTTTCCAACTATTATTATTATTATTATTATTAGTAGTAGTAGTAGTAGTAGTAGTAGTAGCTTTGAGCACTTAGATTAGTAACAATATTAATAACAATTTTTTCTATTCTTAGTTGATGAAGATGCTGCAGTCAATCGGATTGCGTAAGTTCCCTCTTTTTTCCTCTTAAGATATACATGATTTCCTTTTCCCCTGCCTTCTTCCCACTTCTGTATTTTCCTTTTTATCATTTTATGAAGTATTTTTTAAAAAATTGAAATATCCAATAAAAATGCATCCAGTCTGGATCTCCCTATCTCTCTCTTTGTGTAATTAGGGATACCATTCAAAGGTATTTTCAGAATATGGCCCAGGTAAACAAATAGGAGGAGGAATTTTGTAATTCTCTTAGATCCGGGCATAGAGAATTTATTATAGGCAGTCCTGGAAATGAACAGCCCTTAAGGCTTTCAAGAATCCCTGTCCTCTTCAGACATTATTCTTCAGTTGTTTGATAGTGGGGCAGTGTATAAATTTAATAAATAAAAAAATTAGAAAAGGGATGCTTTTGCATATGTTTATATAAAAATAAAGCATGCATGCTTATTCAGATCCAGATTTATAAGGCATTCACGTGGCTTGTTAAGCATACCACATTATCTTACCTCCTCCCCATTAAAGGTTGCTTCTCATCCAGAAAGTTAGGTTTCAGCTGCCCACCCACCCTGAAAAGACTGTCACTTGGGATAAACTAAAATTTGAGAGCCTTATTTATGACTTCAGGCTTCCATTAACTGGAACTGCTCTCGATTTTGATAAGACTCAAGTGAAAGAACTGGTCCAACAGAGATGTGTGTGTGTGTGTGAGAGAGAGACCCTCATCAAAAATATGAGGTGAACATAGCTTCTCTCCTTGTCATGCTCAAGTGTCTTATCCTTCTTATTCTTTGACTATGGACCAAAGAGAGAATGTCTATTTTGAGAAAGTCGTAAATATGAGGAGTAGTCTGTGGCTTCACTGAGCAGAAAGCACTGTCAGATGGATGTGGATAAGCATCTTATCCTTTCTTTTATGTCTTTTTGCTCAGGCTGTGGCTGTGCACCTTTACTCTGGCTGTGTCCCTGGGGGCAGTGCTCCTGCTGCCCTTCTCCATCATCGGCAATGAAGTCTTGCTTTCCTTCCCTCAAAATTACTACATCCAGTGGTTGAACGGCTCCCTCATCCATGGTGAGCTTCTTGCAATGTTTCCTCTGTGGGGATGGAGGAGGGGCATCTGTCTCTGTGGGCAGAAGGAAGGAACGTCCCTCCCACCTTCTGTATACTTTCATAATGGAGAAAACCTGAATAGCAAGAGGGATTAGAACTCTCAGGCAAGTTTTAAAACCATGTCTTAGCAGATGGTAGCACCAAGTTGACCTTGGTTGATCAGAAGGTCAGATTGAGTTGGTACCTGGATGGGAGACCAAGGATGGTAAGCTGGACTTGGACCTCAGAAAAGCATTTGGGAACATAAGAATGGGAAACTTCTTGTGTAATGTTGCCAGTTGCAGTCATGAGGAGGCAGTTTCAATTTAAGGGAGCCTTTCTCCTTTAAAAAAAAAAAAGGGGGGGGGAGAAAAGAAAGCAAAATTAGCACCCAAAACTGCTTTCCCTCTTCAGAGTTCTCTGTGTCTCCCAAATCCTGAGTGCTGCCTATGGCACAGGTGCTAGAGGCAGCACTCAGAGCCCTCTCTGTGGGCACGCGTGCCGTCACCCCAGTCCTAGGTCTTCAGCTGGGTTTTATAAAACCTTTTTGTTTTAGGCCTCCGCTACCGTGTACAAAAAAAAAAAAAAAGGTTCAATCAATCAGTCAATTTCAACTTCTTGTGGGAAAACAAAAGACCTTGCAAAGTTGGAATTGATTGATTGAACTTTCTAGTCCCACCCAGTTTGCTTTACTGCAGCCATGCCCACTCAATGGGCCACATCCACCCAATGGGCCACACCCACCCAGCACCCGATAATGCATAAGTGGGTTTTGGGTTACAGTTTGAGCACTCGATCTCTAAAAAGGTTCGCCATCACTGTCCTAGCTTCTCTCTTTTGAAAATCCCACAATCGCCAACATTTGTGTTGTAGAACAAAGACCCTGCAGGATGAGTCCTCTCATTGTCTAGAATTGGCTCAGTCTGAAGGAAGCCACTTCAGAGCAGAGGCTGCTTAGGGAAAGAACATCTGTTTGAAGTCTGTATCAAGTGTGTATGTCAATGCACCCTTTCTGTTTTCTGTATAAGGTGGCTGGGATTTTCAGCTTTGGGGGGGGTCTAGGCTCCAGCTTTGAGAGGAAACGAGTGTCCTCACTAGAGTTGGGCTTCTGTGGATTATTCCAGGAATGGCCCAAATCAAGGAGGCTAGCAGGAACCCAACATCAGGGGAGGGAGCAGCGATATGTCTTTGAGGAGCTGGAGCAGAGGCGTAAGGGAATTTTTCTCCCTCTTTTCTGTTCCCTAGGACTCTGGAATCTTGTCTTCCTCTTTTCCAACCTCTCCCTCGTCTTCCTCATGCCGTTTGCCTACTTCTTCACAGAATCAGAAGGCTTTGCCGGATCAAAGAAGGTACCAGCCGCTTCTTTTTATTGTATTTATTTTATTTACACACTCACACAAACACACACACATACACACACACACACATTGCACACTTGAATTTCTACACAAAATAAAATTTAAAAACCATTTTTTCTTTTTTTTAAAGTAGATTATGAAAAGTGCAAGGAATAAAAGAAAATAATAATAGAATGAAAGTAACTTCCAATTTTCTTCAGTAAAGTTACAAATACAAAAAATATATAATCTTTTGCTCTAAAATTCAGTCGTGCACAGTATTGCTATAATCATAAACAGTTCAAATTGTTAAATCCCCAAATTAAAATTTCATTGCTTTCAGTCTCAAGCAAAAAGCCCGAAAGTGGTTTCCACCTAGAAATAAAATGGCGCCAGCTGCCTCTTGAAGATTTCTTATACCTCTCCCAGCTCTGGAGCGGAAATAACAACCCCCCTTTTCTCCGTCTGTCCAGGGGATCATGGCTCGGGTATATGAGACCTTTGTAGTCCTGCTGTTGCTAACCCTGTTGGTTCTGGGAATGGTCTGGGTTGCCTCTGCCATTTTGGACCAGGACGGGGCAAGCAGAGAAAGCCTCTATGGTAAGTTAAGGGGGGGGGAGGTTTTTCGCCCCCTAAAGGGATATATAATCTTCCACTGCAAGAGGAGATTTCAGCCTCTGGTAGCAGGGAGCTGTGAGGAGGGCCCTTGAACACAGATGCCCTTGAAATCTACATTGATCTTTAGCCAACAAGCATAAATCATCTTATTCTTATTCTTCATCATCTCATTAGTGGAGCTGAGTTGTGAAGGAATTGTTTGGTCAGTTTGTCCAATTTTTGTTTGTTTGGTCAGTTTGTTAGGCCAGTTTGGTCTAGAGCAGGGGTAGGCAACCTTGGCTCTTTTATGATTCGTGGACTTCAACTCCCAGAATTCCTGAGCCAGCATGGCTCAGCTTGGAAACCTCTCCCTTTCCCCTCAGCATGGCTGGCTCAGGAATTCTGGGAGTTGAAGCCCACGAGTTATAAAAGAGCCAAGGTTGCCTACCCCTGGCCTAGTGGCTAAGGTGCTGGTCTAGGAACTAGGATACCGTGAGTTTTAGTCCTGTCTTAATCATTAAACATTGGCTGGGTGACTTTGGTCAGTTACTCACTCTCAGTCCAACCCACCTCACAAGGTTGTTGTGGAGAAAGTAGGAAAGAATATTAAGTATGTTTGCTGCCTTGGGTTATTTATAAATAATAACAAAGGCAAGATACAAGTCAAAACAAACAAATAAATTAACTGGGTGCTTCTAACCCAAGGTTCTTCATATAGACAAAACTCTCCAGTGAATAAGCAAGCTTCTAGTAGCTTAGCTCCTCTTGGTCATACCTCATGAAAACCAAGCAGGAAATGAAACGCACGACTGGACGGTTGGTCAGCTGCAAATTCAGAAGGACTAGTTCTGCCTAGCAGTGATGTTTAACCTCTTGTCAAGAGGTTAGAGCGATACACCGGGCAGAATATTTGAGAACAACTCTTCGTATGATTTGTAGTGCATTGGAAAAAAAATGTGGATGGACAGAAAAGGACCTTTTTCTTTCTTTGCTCAATTCAAAAATGTTTGAGAGCAAGAACCAGTGTGGTGGTGTGGTTAAGGAGTTTTATTAGAATTAGAGAGAGCCAGATTCTAGTTCTTCCTCAGCCACAAAAGCTCAGTGGGTGACTTACTTTGGGCCTGTCATTCTCTCAGGCCAATCTACCTCACAGGATTGTTGTGGGGGAAAAAATAGGAGGAGGGAATGCTCTATGTGCAGCCATCAATTCCTGAGTAAAAACCGTGATATAGATCTTAGAAGTAATAAATTAGAGCAAATGTGATCAGATGCCCCTTATTCAATAGTTTCCTGCTTTCTGAGAGTCTCTATTTTATATTTAATAGGAACTTCAGCTCAGTCCTAGGCAATGTGGGAGCCTTCAGATATGGCTGAATTCAGTTCCCAGCTTCCCCTTGTTCTTGGCTCTGATGACTGGAGACTGTTGGGTTTTGAAGTTCAGCATTTCGTAGGCCTGGAGGCCCCCGTTTCCTTTCTCCTGGACTGTAACCTGTTTGTATTCTTTTCTCCCCCACAGATCTCTGGGAGTATTACCTTCCCTACCTCTACTCCTGCATCTCCCTGTTTGGTGTCCTCCTGCTCCTGTGTAAGTTTTCAGTTCAGTCATGTCTGCTGCTTCAGAGTTTGGGGCAGAGGAGGAATGTTTTTTATCATTTGCTGCATAGTTCTTTGAATTGCCAATACTGGTAATTGATTCTGCAATATACTACACGTGCTCTGTTGCAGACGTATTATGGTTCCCCAGAGCAAAGGTCTTCAGCCTGTCAGTTGAGACCCAGTACAGTAACTTTTTCAAACTCCCTCTGTATATATGTGGACTACAACTTCCAGAATTCCTAGCTGGCACAGTCATTACCTGATAGGTCAGAACCCCAACGTTCATCCGTGCTAGCTCAGAATTCTGAGGGTTGCAGTTCTAAAGCATTTGGAAAGAATTGGAGAATGTTGCTGGGTTGGCCGCCACCCTCTAACCACTTGAAAGAAAAAGCGCCTCTTTGAATAATGCAGTAGAAAAATATTAGAATGTGAAGATAAACATCTTGAAGAGCCCAATAATCTGTTGCATTGTAGAAACAGGTGACTTTGGTTTATTTATTTGACCTGCTGGATTCCTAGAATGGCATCCGTTTTCCAGAACTGCTCTGTGCTGGACTCTGAGAAGAAACAATGGCATTCTGGCATGGTGGAACAGCAGAATGATCTACTTTCTTGGCAGAACCTATCAACTTTCTTAGATTCTGGAGAGCAGTGCCACCTTCTGGCAGGCAAGATCATTAGGGAGTTATTTGCTGGGGCTAGTCACAACTGTCCTGTCTCCAATTCTTTACAGTGTGTACACCCTTCGGTCTGTCGCGGATGTTCACTGTCACAGGGACACTGCTGGTAAAGCCCAGGGTAAGATAGCTTCAGTCTTTCTATGGTCAATTCCAAAAAAGGGGTAAGGGAATTATTACCATCAGTTGCCATACCAAATCAAGCAGTAAAGATTGTCTCTTTTCTAGCTAATAGTGACCAAACCATTATTTGGAAAGGAGACGAAACAAGCAAAGCCAGAGATAAGAATAGTTTAAAGCAGAGTTGGGGACACATCAGGATTGCAAGATTGACTTCCTTCCTTCCTTACTTCCTTCCTTCCTTCCTTCCTTCCTTCCTTCCTTCCTTCCTTCCTTCCTTCCTTCCTTCCCTCCCTCCCTCCCTCCCTCCCTCCCTCCCTCCCTCTCCTCTCTCTTTCTCTCAAATTTGGCTTAATGGGTATTATGATTTGCATTACATAATGTTGCCTAAAACTGTTTTGATTGGTAGAATGAAATAAAGGCCACAATTCTTCCACTGGAAAATCCATTGCCAATTCTTCCTCCTTCTCCCCCCAAGCTGTTTTAAGCAATATACTATTGTTGCTGAGATTAAAACACTTAGCAGATTAAAAATCCCTGCCATTATTGCCAATCCCACAGATCTATCAATTAAACCAGCTCTTAACCACCTACTCTGCATCTTTACCTAGTTGATTGGGAAAGAGAAAAGGTATTGGCTGTAATAAAGCAAACAACTTTATTCCGAATAGGGTGTTGAGAGCATGTTTCCTATCTTTTCAGCTCCTGGAGGATTTAGATGAGCAACTGAGCTGCACGGGATTTGAGGAAGCTGCCATTTCTCGCAAGATCAATTCTGGTAGGTGCCCATTTAAGGCTGGATAGAGCTGAGGCTTGGGAATTTTTGTGCTTGGATTTAGCAGACAGCTGAAATGACTTATTCGTTTACCTATTTTCTATCCCATTGCAATCCATATTGACTCTCGATGGTGTACAGCACCACAGACCAAATAAACCATTAAGACCTCTATGGTAATAAAATAGTTCTATATAAAATCCATTCAGAAATCCATTCAGAACTAACACACAGCAGTCATCTGTAGAGATAGGGGCCAGGTAGAGGTCGTGAGCAGCAAATTGCCCTTCCAACGCCTGTGTGCCTCTTCTCTCTACATGATCTCATCCATTCACATCACCATGGCAATGTAGGGAAATACCCCAGGCTGGTACATGATATCACCTGGTTCACATGATATCAGCCTGGTTACATCAACAGGATGTGGAAGAAACTGCTCCCTGGCTGGGGCCTCTTAAGGATTGGCAAGGGGTTTCACCAATAGAACTGTTGCTATATTAATGCCATCTTACTTTATGCTATTTGAATACCTGTATATAAGGCAATAAACACTGCGAAAGCAGTCAGCCATATTTGCACCCTGCAATGACTGAGCACTGATTACTACAGTCATCGTGACTGCATACATGCATTAGTCCACAAGGGATCTCCAGAGGAGCTCATTTTTAACATGTTTTGAAAGGGCAATTACAGGTAGTACTTGCTTAACGATAATTGGGTCTGGCAACTCTGTTGCTAAGCAATGCAGTTGTAAAGCACAATACCACATGACCATGCCAACTTATGGCAGAAGTTGCAGTAGTCCCAGTTGCTATTGTTAGATGACTGCAGCATTCGGTAGTGACATGGTTGATATTTTCAACCTCTTGCTGGCTTCCCCATTGCCATTGCTTGTCAGGGGCCATCTGGAAGGTTGCAAGCGATGATCACATGACCGAAGGATGCTGGCGACCATTGTAACTGCAGGTGGGTTGCCATGCATCCAAATTATGATCGTGTGACAGTTGCAGTGACGAGGACCCATCGTAAGTCCACCCCACTCAGCTCCATTGTAACTTCGAACCGTCCCTGAATGAGTAGTCATTCAACAAGGATTACCTATCTATAGCAGGGCTTTTCAACCAGTGGTACGGGTACCACCTGTGGTACCTTGGCACCTGGCAGATGGTACGCGACCATCCTAGAAAAGTAGCGGGGGAGGGGAATGAGCTGAACCGGTGGCAGCACCGCACAAGCCTGAGAGAGAGATGGCTGGAGCTGGAGGGCTGTCAGGGCTCAGCAGAAGCACCAGGATCAGTGCCAGGCTCCAACTGGAGCTCGGCATAGATCCTGGTGCTTCTGCTGAGCCCAGAAGAAGCACCGATCAGCTGGAATGTTGCAGCATCTCCAGGGTCTTGTGATTTACATTCAGATGCTTGGCAACTGATTCATATTTATGATGGTCACAATGTCACAGGATCATGTGAAGTGAGTAAAATCTGCTGCAACCACCCAGCAGATGGGGGGAATAAAAACCAAACACCCCCCACCCCCACCCCCGCTGCCAATCCTCAACAGAAATGCTCACAACAATGAAAACCTCGGACAGGAGGAAGAGCGCGGCCGGGCGGGCAGGCAGGGATATTGCTCGGCTGTGGCTTGGGGGGCACTTTTTTCAGTGCCATTGTAACTTTGAATAGTCATTAAGCGAACAGTTGTAAGTCAAGGACTACCTGTACTTTATCACTTTTTTCCTTTTTTTGTGGGGGGTCATCAAGTTTTTGACACCTTGCTAGGCGACTGGTGGTACTCGGATGTTGCTATATCCTAAAAGTGGTACAATGGGTGAAAAGGTTGAAAAGCCCTGATCTATAGGACTGTACCCTGTTGCCCTGAGAAACAGGTTGCTGCACGTGGGCCTCGAGGCTGATCCAAGGTTCTATCTCGTTACTCTTTTTTGTTTGCTTTGCTTTTCTTCAGGGAAAACATCCTGCTGGCTCAATTTTGATATGGAAATGTTGAGACAACAATATCTAGCCATTCATGCACACAGGATAACACTAGGTAAGAATAAAATGCAATGTGGAAAGAAGCTGGCTGCTCCTGCTCTTTTGCCTGTGGAGATACTCTGTTGCTCCTTTGTTGATTTTCATAACCAACATTTCAAAAAAAAAAAACCCCTCTAATTTGCTCTATCAAAACAGTCCTATTTTCTATCCCTTGTGTTCTGTCTGTTATTGCACCAACCACTATTTTTTTTTAATTATGGATAGATCGAATATTTAGGCCACAGGTCGGCAACCTGCGGCTCTGGAGCCGCATGCAGCTCTTTGAGCCTTCCCCTGTGGCTCCCAGCCTCCTCTGCCTTTGCAGGGAGAGACAGAGACAGAGAGAGGCAATTGCGCTTCCCTGCTTCTCTCTCTCTCTCTCTCTCTCTCTCTCTCTCTCTCTCTCTCTCTCTCTCTCTCTCTCTCTGTGTTTTTGTGTGTGTGAGTGTGTGTGTGTGTGTGTGTGTAAAAGAGAGTGCACTCACAGTGTTCTCCGAGGAGCTGAAAAGCTTACTGGGCGGAGCTCCTCCCTTTGCTGCGTCTCTACAGGAAGCAGGAAGCAGGAAGGGCAGGAGAGAGCTAGCTAGCCCAGCAAGGCTGATTCAGGAATTCTGGGAGTTGAAGTCCATGAGTCATAAAAGAGACGAGGTTGCTTACCCCTGAGCTTGTTGGACAACAGCTTGAAGCTTGCCAGGTGAGCACCAGATAGGAGGGGGGGGGGAGAAAGAGAGAGAGAGAAAGAGAGAGAGGGAGGGAGGGAGAGAGAGAGAGAGGAAAGAGAGAGAGAAAGAAAGAGAGTGGGGGAAGAGGAGTGGCAGACCAAGGACAGATAGAGAGGGAGGGAGGGAGAGAGACAGAGAGAGACCCTTTTGACATCTAAAATGAAGATAACACTGCATATATCCTTTTTTTAACCTGTGTGTGTATGTAATTTTATTCTCTTAAAGCATTCTCTTTATCATTGTTTTAACAGTATGGATATTTCCAAGAGTCATATTTTTACTTTTATTTTTAATGTGTGTGTGTGTGTGTGTATACACACACACACACACACACACACACACACACACACACACACACACACACCTATAATAAAGGTGAAAAAGGATATATGCAGTGTTATCTTCATTTTAGATATCAAAAGGGTTTTGCGGCTCCCGGTGTTTTGTTTTTGGTGGGAAACGGGTCCAAGTGGCTCTTTGAGTGTTTTGGGTTGCCTACCCCTGATTTAGGCAATGCTAGCCTGGGAATACTCAGATTAATTCCCCTCCTGCCACACGAATGGGCATACTAAGATCTTCCCATTCACATTCTCTATTATGTATATCTTCTATGCTGGCAGAAACCTGCCAGGACTTGGGTTTAAGAATTTAGCTCAGCAGGGAAGCCTTCGCCCTTGATTGCTATCCTAAATCTGCTTAGGCTCCATTTAGAGCCAGAGCAGGAAATGGATACCTTCTGGATCAGGGGTCTTCAAACTTGGCCCTTTTATGACTTGTGGACTTCAACTCGCAGAATTCCTCAGCCAGGCACGCTGGCTGAGGAATTCTGGGAGTTGAAGTCCACAAGTCATAAAAGGGCCAAGTTTGAAGACCCCTGTTCTAGATGCTTAGGCTATAATCTTGGTAATCTACAACTTGTTGAGATCTGTATTAAAATTCTGGAAGGGAACTGATTGCTCATCTTCATCTTCTAAATGTGAGATGGGGCCATACGAGACAAGATGATTCCAACCTAAGAACTAACATTATACGAATGCCTGGTCCTTAGCTGTGGAGAAATACTTGAGAAAACAGCAAGATCGAATATCCAGTGCCTGGGATTGAGGCCTATAATTTTTACAGCATTTTTGCTTTTGATCATGATGGATGGTCCTTCCTTCTGGGCCTTTCTTTCAGGCTTCTCTCCCCAGAATCCACATACTTTTTTTTTCTCTCTTTCTTTTTTAAAAAAAAAAAATAAGGAGAGGGGGATGAATAAAACACACGTTAGTATTAGCTCCTTTTCTTTATTAGGTTTGATTTTATTGGAGACAGACATCTCATTGGAGGTAGTTCTACCTCGCTCAATGGCAGTGAGGTTGTTCTCCTCCTTAAAAGAGAAGGCAGTTTTAATAGGGGCATCCTAGAAGTAAAACTTTCTCAAGAGGCCATGGAAAATGGTCATCCTTCATCTAATATAACTTCTGTGTGTTGTAAGTGTGCATTTCCTCCCTTCTTTTTTGGCAGAAACGCGCCGCAAAGCTTCCGCTTGGCAAAGGAACCTGGGCTATCCATTGGCTATGCTGTCTCTGCTGTCGTTGACAGTAAGTTCTAGGGCTGAAATTAATTGTATATTTCCATTTTGACCTAAATCAGTCTTTAAATGGCATTTTATAACTCCAATAGCACGCCACCATCCAGATAATACTGGACAGCAATTCTTATTGTTCATCAGCATGGCCATATTGAAATACAATGTTTGCAAGGCGACCCCCTTCCCTGTCCCTCATATAGAGCAGCATCTCCAGCTTTTCTGCATTCCAATGTTTTGGAACTTCAGTTCCCCATCTCCAGTCTTTAAACTTGCCATGTCAACTTCCTGAAGTCAGGAAAATGGTCTGAAAATGATCCCTAGAAGTTTTTTTAAATATATATTTAGAGCTTCATTTACATCTACTCTGTATGCCAAAGAACCGTGCATTGTTAAACCTGTGAAGTAGCAATAAGAGATACAGGTATATTTACAACCTCAGCAATTTTTAAGATGTGTAGACCTCAGCTCCAAGAATGCCTTCCCTCAACATGTTGGCTGAGGAATTCCGGGAGTTGAAATTTGCTGAGCTTAAGTAACTGCTGTAATAGAACAAGTTATACAGTATTATAGATCAGGGGTCCCCAACTCCTGGTCCGTGGACCGGTACCGGGCAGCAGCATGCCAGCAACTGGGCCGCACAAACAAGCAAAGCTCCATCCGCCGGATGCAGGCAGCACACAGAACCACGCCCCCTCCAGTCCGCGGAAAAACCTCTCTCCACATAATCGGTCCCTGGTGCCCCAAAGGTTGGGGACCTGTGTTATAAATAATTCAGCCCTGAATGGAGTAACCACTAGGGGGCAGCCAAGAGTTATGCCAGAGAAAGTTACTACAAAGCCTGATTATCAAATCATGTGTTGGGCAGTAAATGAATATGAATAGAATTCACTGAAGGCAGAAAGACAAATAATTGGTTATATTATGATGAGTCTGCAAGCAACTGATGATGCATGTATCCCTAAAAGAGATTATTCTTCTGTGAACCTTCGGTGTTTAGGATCATTGTTTTGGCTTGGGAGCCTGGTTTCAAAGGTGACTGAAAAGTCCCTAGTATTATTTTCAAATGTTGCATGTAGCTCTTTAAGGCGCAAGCTCGAGATGCAGCATGGAAACCTCTCTTCTCTTACCTTCCACCTAATACTCAGAAGTACGTGGTATTTTCTAGGGTATCTCTGTCCTGGTTGTCTGCTTCCATGTTCTGGAGCTGCTGTTGGATGATGCTGCAATGCCTCGAGGAATCCAGGTGAGGGCGCAAAAAGCACCTGATCTCTCTCCTTGGTGCTTTCCTGCTTTTCTGGAGCCTGATTTTCATGTGCTGCTTGTATATCATGAATGACTCTGTCAGAGATATCCTTATTCATCATTCAGATGGTACACAGTTTCTTTAAGCTGGGGCAAGATCCCTATTTCAGGAATCCTGCATCTATCCTCCTTTCCCTAAGGAGAGCTGGTAGCCTGTAAGTCACAGCTGGGCAGTTAATTTTCCCAAGGGGCCACATGAGAAACTGGGACTGTTGTGGAGGGCCAAAGCAATAGGCTGTGAACGTGCATAGGTGTATACACACACACACACACACACACACACACACAAACGTAAATTGAAAAAAGCAGTTGCCTTCAAAATAAAAGCAACCCACGCAAACTGGACAGGGACAGCTAAAGGGCCGGATATGGCCCAGGGGCCATAAAATGCTCAGGTCTGCTATATGCAGTTGCCCAATGAGTGTAGTGGAGAACAAACTCTGTGCTCCAGAAAGTTATATTCTATGATTCTACGTATTGCACGGAGTGAGCAGGTTTCCTTCAGAGTGAAACTCAGCCGCCTGTGCCTTTTACCTCCTTTCCTTTCTGTATCTTCTGATTTTGTTTCAGAGCTCCCCCCTTCATCATCCGGAACAGATGCAGAGAATCTCTAGAGCAGGGGTGTCAAACTTAATTTCATTGAGGGCCGCATCAGCATTGCGGTTGCCCTCGGGGGGGCAGGTGGATGTGGCCAGGGTAGGTGCGGCCTACTGGGTGGGCATGGAGTGGGTGTGGCCTACTGGATGGGTGTAGCCAGCTCTACATTGTTCACGTCAAGGGTGCCTATGGGGGCCTGGGCAGGAGTGGGACAGATCTGAGGGTTTCTGGCAGAAGGGGGTGGCACCAGGGCAAGTGCCAAGGCATGGTCCACTGGAGGAGCCTCATCTCTCAGGCCATGGGGGGGGCTGGATGGTGGTGCGGGCTCCCCGGAGCCCTGGGCAGCAGAGGTCAAACGCCCAGCCTGGCCCTCGAGCACCCGCCGCACCAAGCCCAGCCCCACTTCCCCAAGGGGGCGCCCAGCTGCACTTACCTCCTCCTCAAGGCTGCTGCTGCTGTGCTTGCTCTCCTTAGCCAGGTTGCTCATGATGGGTACCAGGGCAAAGTCAGAGGGAGGCCCATTCCCTCTCCATGGGAGGAGACCTGGCTTTGTATCCAAAGCTTCCTTAGCAGTAGGATGGGAGACCCCAGGATAGGCCAGGAGGAGGGGGCAAGCAGGGCAGGACTAAGGCAGGACTTCCCTCAGACCCTCCCTCTCCTTCTTTCCTTTCTTCCTTCCTAAATACAGAGTGGTAGGAAAATCTTTGAGATGAGGGAGGGAGAAAAACAGGCAAGAAACGCAGCCAGAGCCAAGGCAGTGTGGGCCGTTCCCTCTGTTTCCAGGATGGCTTCGCGGGCGACATGAAACCACTTTGCGGGCCGCATCCGGCCCCCAAGCCTTGTGTTTGACATATCTGCTCTAGAGCAGAGTTCTCCAATCTTTCCGGGCTCAAGGCCCAGAGGGGAGAGCTGCTTCCAAATTACTGTATGCATGTATGCACACATGCAAACAGGACACCCACTGGCGCAGTACTAGCAGCCGTGTTCGTGAATGCGGCATGCGCTGGCACCATGTGCATGCGTGAACGGCTGTACACCCCCACGGCAGCTAGCACCCATTCGTGTATGCACAAATGGGCCGCCAACACACACACATACTGCTAGCATTCCTGTTTGCGCCCACACACATGTGCAAATGGCCCTGGGTGCTAGCGCGAGTGGGGGGGAATGCACACCCTGGCCAGCCATTTCTGCAGCCCGCTGGCCAAGAGCCCGCAGCCTGGTACCGGGCCATGGCCCATAGTTGGGGATCCCTGCTTTAAAGAACTCCAGGGAGAGATGGTCATTGCCTTCCCTTTGTCCAATTGACAGAAGCTTTTCCTTCCGTGGGAGAGGCTATTGTGAGGCAAACCACATATTCGGTTTCTGATGATGATGGGAAAATGCAAAGTGCTAAGCAGGCAGTTAAGCTTGTCAACCAACTTTAAAATCCAACTTTTATGACCGTAAGGAATAGCAGGACATTTATAGAAAGGGATCCTCTAGTAAGAATTTGGTTTGGGTTGCAGCAGTGAGCTTTTGATGTGCAGAAAGCATAGGTTTTTGTCATGTTTCCCCTCCCCAAATAACCCAATTCCTTTTCTCATTCTGCAGGATGCACCACTTGGAAAAGTTTCTTTCTCTGTCTTTGGCTCTTTTGGGGCAGCCATGCAGGTCATTCTGATATTGTATCCTTACTGGAATCGTCCTCATTGCTCTTGGTGCAGTTAATGCCATTCATGTTTAGAAAGAAAACACTCATTTTTTCCATTGGTCTGTTTCACATTTATTTTCACTTTGTTGGACCCTCTCATAATTAATAATCTGCTTCGGTTTTCTTTCAACCTATCTCTGTTATTGGAAGCCATCATGTAACTACTATACTGAATCACTTCTCTTCCATGAATTGGTCTATTCCCTTTCTGAAGTCATACAAGTGGGTATCTCCCTGAACCCAGCACCATCATTTGCAAAGAAATCTTTTTACTGTCCTGAATTTTCCATCGTTCAGCTTCCATTTTACTATAAGGTTGCATAATCTATCTATAATATGGGTACCATATATTCCGGCGTATAAGACGACTTTTGAGAGCATCGAAACAGCCTCCGAACTCGGGGGTCGTCTTATACGCCGAGTCGTCTTATACGCCGGAAATAAGGTAGTTTCCGGCGTATAAGATGACTTTCTAGGCATGCGACTTGGTGTCGATCGTCTTATACGCTGGAAATACCGGTAGTTTCCGGCGTATAAGACGACTTTCTAGGCATGCGACTCGGCGTCGATGGTCTTGTGACTCGGCGTCGAACTAGGGGGTCGTCTTATACGCCGGGTCGCCCTATATGCCGGAATATACGGTAGTTGTATTTCTTTTCTCAATGACCTGTAATGTAAAATTTAAGTGATTTCCATCAGCTGAAGATAACTCCTGTTCTTCCTTAACGTTTCTTAGTTATTTAATGATCTCCTCTGTTGTGGGATTCTATAGCTCCCCATTTTTCATTAAACTGCTGCCTGAGCAACACAACACAGCTATGACTAAGGTAGGACTTCGTCATACAAAATTTTATAATTACATACTTTTCGCTGATGAAACTTCCAAACCATTAATTGAAATGTTGTTCATGGAATGCTAGAAATACAGCAAAAAGGAATAATCTTTTTAGCAGTTACCGTATTTGAATAGATCAGGGGTGTGTCCAAATTCAAGACCTGTGGACTTCAACTCCCAGAATTCCTCAGCCAGCCAGCCATGCTGAAGTTGAAGTCCACAGGTACTTTTTTATTAGTTTATAATATAAAATACAAAAAATACAAAAGAAAATAGTAGGAAAAATAGGGGAGGGAAAAGGGAAAAGGGGGAGGAAAAGGGGGAAAAGAAAGAAAAGGGAAGTCCACAAGTCTTAAAAGTTGCCAAGGTTGGACACCCCTGGGATAGATTGTCCTAGGAAGGCTAGTTAACAGAATTGTAATACAGTAGAGAGCTTTGAATTTTGAAACAAGATGGTGGGACAATCTCTGGTGGAGAATGGTGTATAGAAAAGCAAAGAGATCTAGTTGAGAAATGGGATGAGTGAATTTTAGCAGAGACAGGCAAGGGCTTCTAGTTTGAAAGAGGAACCCTCTTTATTGATATCTGTTCAAACAGTTATGTAACTGCATTGTTTGAAAGACACAGTTTGAAAGACAAAGTCTGCTAGTTGTGATTTAAAGATACTGAGATTCAATGGAATAGGGGGCATCATCCCTCTTCCCTCATCTTCATAATTTCGAGGGCGAGAAGTGAAACTGGAGACTAACAGTTGAGTCTTCCGCCTACAAATCTCCCCCAGCCCTCAGAAATGTCCCCAAATCTCAACTTTTGAGCCATTTGGGAATATTTTCACAGGGTAAAAGATACGATTTGCATTTCAGAGATTTCCTGCTCCCCCCCCCCGACTCTCTAAATCTTCAAAGAATTCCAAAATCTGTCTGAAAAACAGCCATTGGGAGGAAATTTGCCACTGAATCTGGCAGCACAATCTCGGGAAGCGGCTGTGGTTTGCCCCAGTTCCAGATTAAGGAACAAACGCTCATACATCATGTTTAGCTATTTGACAAGCCAGATGTTGCTAGTGTTCAGCCGTCAAATGGGATCGATGGAGAGACTGCCTGCGTTTTGGAGCAGAAGTACCATAGAGAGACGCTCCTTGCCAAAGGCTTGAACTCTGGATCTACCCATGCAAGGTGAAAGATGTGTAAGATGCTGAAGACCCTCAAATTTGAGGAGAGATCAGTTGCAGTCTCTTTCATCTCTTGGAGGGAACAAACTGAACCTAGTAAAGAGAATCTAGGGGTAAAGGAACAATTAGAGCCAGTTTGGTCTAGCTCAGGGGTAGGCAACCTTGGCTCTTTTATGACTCGTGGACTTCAGCTCCCAGAATTCCTGAGCCAGCATGGCTCAGCTTGGAAACCTCTCCAAGCTGGCTCAGGAATTCTGGGAGTTGAAGTCCACGAGTCATAAAAGAGCCGAAGTTGCCTACCCCTGGTCTAGTGGTTAATGCACCAGGCTAGAAAGTGAGAGATGGTGAGTTCTAGTTCTACCTTAGACATGAAAACTGGCTGGGTGACTTTGGGCCTGTCACTCTCTCTCAGGCAAAACTGCCTCAAAGGGTGGTTGGGGGGGGGGAATAGGAAGAGGAAGGAGCATTAGGTATGTTCGCTGCCTTGAGCTATTTGTTTAAAAAAAATTAAAATGGGATATAAATAAGTAAATAAATTACATATTCTTGCCTATGATTGAATGTGTGAGATGAAGGCAGCCAGTGGCAAGAATGCACATCATTGTTTTCAACTGTATTTCCCGGCAGATCATTGGAAACTGTGTCTCTCTCTTGGTGTTGAGTTCTGCACTTCCTGTGTTGTCTCGCACGTTGGGTGAGTCTTGTTCTTTCTTACCCATATCTATATGTTATCTGTAGCTTCCGGTGTCTACATATATCAGATTGATCAGTCAAATAAATTTGTGGCCTCCTTGTAAAAACTGGAGCTATATTAATTACAAAAAGACTTGCACAGATAAAACCTAAACACTGTGGTAAATAAAAAAAAAGGTTAATATAATTATCCTTTTTCTGCCAGTAGATCTTCTGAAAAGGTACAAGAAATGGTAAAACACTAAAATTCTGTTCCCCTGGAAAGCTTTTTTTAAATTTCCAGCACCAAATGGGATATATTGCTTTTTTAATGAAAACAAAAGTTGTTAAGATGCTCAGGAGTTTGGAATAAATATAAAACAAGGATTTTTACAAAATTGCCCCTATGGGTCCCCCCCCCCAAGAAGCTTTTTTAAGAAAAGAAATGGTAGTGAAGTCAGACTGGTGGACATATGGTAAAATAGTATCTTTCAATTCTGGAGACCCCATCCTCAAGTCTAGGGAAGAATTAGAATTAGAAGGTCACGCTTGTCACTGGTTTACATATTAACAAATGAAGGAAAGAGTTAAACTAGACAAAAAAGGCCATGATTTGAGTTTGCTAAACTGAATTGGAAATCCTACTGTATGGTAGTGATGATCATACAATTGCCAGGGTCTATAAAACATTATTAAAATTGTATTTGGAAAATGAAATGTAAAACACTGTATGATCCAGTGGGTGGGGGATTTTGGCTACAATATGATGCTTGAACAATGGGAGAATATGTGGATAAAAGGCTTAAAATTCACATTAAATTATAATTTAGAAGAAAATTTTTACAAAATGATGTATCACTGGTATTTAACACCAGATAAGTTATCTAGAATGTATAAAGGTATTTCAAATTGGATGTTGGAAATGTAAATGTAAAGAAGGGACTTTTTATCATTTATGTTGGACATGTGATAAGGCAAAGAAATATTGGAGTAGGAGTCATACATTAATGCAGAAAATTCTTAAAGTGAACATAAAGATTAACTTTCCTTCTGGGTCTAATGGAAAGAGAACTGGAAAAAAAATGGAATTCTGATTTTATATATGGTGACGGCAGCAAGATTGCTCTATGCACAAAAGTGGAAGGGTGGAATTGGCAGAGATGGCCAAATTGACTGTGCTGATAAAAGAAAAGAACATAAGTACTTTTGTTTCTACTTGGAAACCGCTTCTGGACTTTGTGCTTGAGGTGGAAAAAAATGATATTATGATTTTGGGTTTTACCGATTAGACTGATTTGCCGATACAGAAATGGCTAGTGCATACGTACTACTATAGAAATGTAAAAAGTTGAGATTTGATTTTAATGTCTGATTTTACTGCAACAGAGAGGAGTCGGAAGTCAATGCCTTTTGTTTCTTCCCCTCCCTTTCTTCACATCCTTTTTGTTTTCCCTTTTTCTACTGTTATCCCATACGATTTGCTTTCATATTTTCACATTTTATGTTATAAATGAATACAACTAATTTTAAAAAAGCTCAGTTCTGCCCCAGATTTGAACTGTCATGCTAGTCAAGCCAATCCTCCTACAAGAGCCAAGATTGGGATTGGAAGACCGGAATATTTATGATGCATGATTGTCAGCATTCTCCCCTCTATTCTTTGTTTCAGGGATTACAAGATTTGACCTGCTGGGAGACTTTGGGAGGTTTAACTGGCTGGGAAACTTCTACATTGTTTTTCTCTATAATATACTCTTTGCCGGACTCACAACTCTCTGCTTGGTCAAGAAGTTCACCTGGGCTGTACAGGCAGAACTCATCAGGGCAGTTGGTAAGTACATCTGGGTCTTCTTCTGGGATTGGTGGGGGAGGGGAGGGGGGAAGAAAGCAGGTGGCCTGATCCACCTGGAAAGGACTATCTCTTGGGTAGCCTAGAGCTGGAAGTCTCTTCTTTTCGGATGGCCAATAGCTTGTTCACATGTGGCATTGAATCATAATGTCCTTTGTTTTACTTAGTATCTTATGTGAACCCAGTCAATTGTTGTTTATTCAGAAAGCTCTAAGGCAGGAGTAGGCAACCTTGGCTCTTTTATAACTCGTGGACTTCAACTCCCAGAATTCCTGAGCCAGCATGGCTCAGCTTGGAAACCTCTCCCTTTCCCCTCAGCATGGCTGGCTCAGAAATTCTGGAAGTTGAAGTCCACCAGTCATAAAAGGGCCAAGGTTGCCTACCCATGCTCTAAGGCTAAGCCAGTTGGGCTTAGTATATGTGTATGCATCTGTGTGTGCCAAGCATTCGATTTTGGGAAAGGCTTGGAACTTCTGGTAAGCTGGCCTGCTTTCCATTAAGAAGACGCTTTCTGCCTTGATTGCATGCTGGCTTGTTTTATTCTTTCTAGGTGCTAAACCTCCAAAATCACTTTTTGCAATGGCTTGCAACAGATAACAAAATCGTTGTGTTGAACTGGCTTTCTTGTTGCCCAAATAGCAAAGGATGAGACTGCAGGCTTGACTCATTCAACTACTTTTCTTTTCTCTTCCTTAGGCCTCCACAAGCTGCCTCTACCTGTGACCCGATCTTACCAACCAAGCAAACTCAGCTAAAATAAGGATTGCGCCGGGATTGAGCTTGGCATTGACTATGGATAGACCTTTCTGACTTTGTGCTCGTGTTTTGAGCCAATCAGTGAAGGGGGCGGAGGTCAGGAACTTCCTTGTTCTGATTCTTGATTTGACTGGCATCCTGAGAGGACCGTGAGATGAAGAAGTTGCGTCCTTCAGTTGTATGGCCCCTTGTACCTGCCTCCCAGAAGCCTGAAGAACAACAAGCTTCAACACAAGAAAGGCCTTCGGGACTTCTATTAAGGTGCTTTTCTGGCAAGAGAAAGAGAATATACTGTTCATAAAAAAAAAAAAACCCAACCCAGCAGAATCAAGGCAGCAGAAGTAGGTTATGAAGAGGACAAAGGACTGAGACCGATAAATAAAATGAGCTGCTGGACTTATTTTTAGGGGGCAAGGTGAAGGTTCAGCCTACTGGAGAAAGAGCTTGTGTCCCTCATCATGATAACAGATGCTGTCGTTCTCTATTATTGGGGCTTTCCCCTTTCCTTTTGTTTACATGTCTTAAAGTTCATACCTACCCTGGCCTCTCTCTCTCACAAAATCCTGTGGTCCAAAGGGGCCAATTCAAGTTTTGAGTGGTTTTTTAAATTTGGTTTCGTACCTCACTCAAGTGCAATATAAGTTGGCACTATTGGGCCACGTATACCATTCAGCAGCCAACTTGGTATGTTTGTGTGTATGTGTGTGGACGGGGTTGTTTGAATTTTGAGCGTGTGTGTCAAGAATGACTACTGTAACGTGTTATGCTTTGCTCTTTCACAGCAATAGTTGTCAACATAGGATCCAATCAATTTCTCCTTGATCAATTTTTCCAGAATGATTTAATCCAGCCAGAAAGAAACCACTGCCATGCCATTATGGGGCAGCCAATCTTCTGAGTCCGAAGCTTAGGGTTCAAGAATATTCATACGGCTCCTCTGTCATCTTCTCATTCATGTCAGCTTTGTAGTAAATTCCCCCTTGGGTGGACTTCATGGACTACTTTGCCTAATTTTCCCACTCAGATTCTATAAAGGGTATCCCAGAGGCATCGTCCAGTTCTCATAATAACTGGGCAGTTCCCATTATTGGTAAATATTGGTTGCTTTAGACATGCATGAATATTTGTGCAATGGGGTAGAGGGAACTATATTCTTCCTTCCCCAACTATTCATAATTGTTTGAGGTCTTTTTTTTATTAATGGCACTGGGGCCATGGAATGCCACCCCTGCTCCAAAGGTTTTCAGCTTATTTTGCATGGCTGGCATTCTAGCCCCATGTCTGTATCTACTGTGAATGCTTCCACTGGAAGTCTCTCAGCCCTTGAATGCTTGACCAGATGCCCCCTTATATTCTGCTTTCATTGAAATTACACAAAGCTTAATCCTTCATTTTATGGCAGAAAACAGTAAACAGGTTGGCCATAAATGGGGAGATGGGCATCAGATGAGCCAGCATTGAACAAAACGGTCATTTATCATCAAGTAGGCTGAGTTGCAAGCATACTCTTTTCCAGCATCAAGGCTTCTGTTGTAGATAGGTAGGGTTAGCAAGCCTCACAGCTGCCCTTTGTGCATAACTCAGAGGACTGAAGGTTACATTGTGATGACAATGAGCCACTTGTCTCCATAGTTGTTAAAGCTGGAGCTGAAAAAAGTTCAATGTTTCAAACTCTGCATTCTCCACAGATCCACTTTTAACTTTGCCCAAAGAAATACCTTCAGATGTGGATGTACTGTATCTCCCAGAATTTTCAATCAACATATTCAAAAGCTTTGCAGGCTATAAATTCTAGGATTTGCAGTCCCAATCAGTCAGGTGGGCTAAATTAGAATAGGAAAAAAATTGTGTGAATCCATCTGTTGCAGGAAATATGACAATGTTTATACTTCAGCTCAGACAGGACCAACTGTCTTTCTTGCTATGTAGTGAATGTCTGATCTTATTACATGGAACTCCTAGCTGTGTAAGCAATAAATTGTGGTGTTTTTTTTTACAAAAATCCTTTCTCTAGATGTTTATTTTATATTCTGGAAGATTGGAGAAAGATAATATTCTGCTAGTAGATAATACAAGTAACAGGAGATATACTGTATCTACTGAGCTTTGTAAATGAAAAACCCCATTATATGAACCTAGCTAATAACTATTATTAGCCAGGTTCATATTACATAAATCATGACAAGATTTGTACATTACTGTTTCTGCCACTCCAAACTTTTACGTGGTTTGATGTGGATCTGAAACATTCTGTACTCAGTTGCTCTGCCAATCAAATTGAGTAAATGCTGTTTTCATTTGAGCTATATGATGCCAATCAGAATTGTTCTTTTATGAGTTTGAAAACTTGTATTGCAAAATGGCAATTTAATATTTTGGGAGTGAAGGAAATCTTTTGTTTTTGAAATAACTACACTCCTGCATCATGCTTGGCCATAATGAGGTGATAACATTTCAGCTAATATGATTTGTGAACTGTGTTTCACAGCCTAGTGTTAGGAGCCAGCTCAGAATGGAGATTTATGCAATTTATTGCATTTGGTGCAATATATGAATTTAATCATATGAATTTAATCATATAAAAAAAAGAAAAAAAACATCTGTCTAGTAGTGGCTTAATGAAAGGGCTTGTAAGGACAAGGCCAAATTGATGGTCCTTAGTAGTTGAATTAGAATTACAATTGTTATAATTCCAATTCTAGTCTTCCAGTATAGATCAGCTTTCTCTCTAGGCCCCAAATAGATAGCACATCCACAACCTATAAAATTTGAAGTTAGAAAGATGGGAGGAGGTAAGCCTAAGACCCAAAAAAATGTGTTATGAAAATGCTAACTAGGTGGCCTTTCTTGATAAGCTTTAGGAGAGTGGATGATGGCTTTTTGTGATGGAAAGGCAGGAAGATAACCCAAGATTTAAGCCTGCATTTCACCTGCATGTATGTGCATATGTGTATATACAAGTAGTTCTTGGCTTGCAAACATTCAACCACAGTCAAATGATTGCCATATGCAACCTTTCTTCCTGACTTCCGACAAGCAAAGTCAATGGGGGAAGCCAGATTCACTTAACAAATCGTGATTCTCTTAACTCTATTCATTTGCTTAATAACGGTGGCAAAAAATTGGGCGCAACTCGCTTAACAGCCATCTTGCTTGGCAGTGGAAATTCTACTCCCATTTGTCATAAGTTGAGAACTACCTATATTCAAGCTGAGTCCTAGACTTCTAATAAATGCACCAACTACAGAGGAAATTATCGCAGGCGTGGGTCTTGACACCAGGACCCTTAAAACCATTCTGCTTCATCACTTTGGAAAGGAAGGAAGCAATCATTATGTAGGCCAGTGGTTCTCAATCTGTGGGTCGGGACCCCATTTGGGGTCGAACAACCATTTCACAGGGGTCGCCAAACAAGGCTGTCCGCCATTTTTTCCCCTTTTCTTTGGCCATGCCTCTGGCACCCGGAGATGTATAAGTGGTTGGGGGTCACCACAACATGGGGAACTGTATTATGGGGTCGCGGCATTAGAAAGGTTGAGAACCACTGTTTTAGGCTTTTGTTATGAATGCCTTGCAGCAGTGGCCTAATTCAAGAAACTGATGGATTGATGAAGTACCAACGGTCTTTCTCCTTTCCCTGCAGTGACATAACTGAGGGTGAGTCCTTGGCAATAAAGATCCTTCCTTTCTCTTCTCCCACCTGGTAGCTGAGGAAAAATAAGAATAGAATAGAATAGAAATAGAAATTAGAATAGAAATTAGAATAGAATAGAATAGAATAGAATAGAACAGAATAGGAATAGAATAGAATAGAATAGAATAGAATAGAATAGAATAGAATAGAATAGAATAGAATAGAATAGGAGCTGGAAGGGACCTTGGAGATCTTCTAGTCCAGTTAACAGGTGAAGCAAAACCAAGGAAAGGAACATCTGAAAGTGCTGCTTAAAAATCAACTTTTAAAATAATCATTTTGACATCTGTGGGCCAACTTCAGCCATGATCCAAGAAAGGGGGGAAGAAACTTCTCCTCTTTGGCCATATCTCTAGGGCCAGGAATCGCTCAAGTGTGTTACTCTCTGCTCAGAAGAAAAAAGGGCAGCTTCAGGCAGGGATATTCTGCCTTCTGGTTATTTATTTTCTCATATCCTGGAACGCAGGAAACAATGCTGAAAGTGCAGGAAACCCAAGCAGCTCTGTTTGATGCCTTTCGGCCTAGTGGCCTACAGACCTACTTCCCCTGAAGAAAACCAGGGCGCCGGGAAAGGGGGCGGGGATGGAAATCTTCATGCAAAAGGCCTGAGGTGCGTCGACGTGCAGGGTGGCTAAGAATGGTGGAACGGAGGCGGGGAGAGAGAAAAGGACTCCGAAAGTGAGGTCTCTTCCGAAAACACTATTTCATTAGCCGCACGGCCCCCTCCCCGGGCTCTTTCTACGAGCAAGGTAAGTCGCGGGATTCCCCAGCCTCCCCAGTAGAGGGCGCCAGAATGCAGACTGGCACAACGAAGAGGCGGCTCTCTCTTTCCGAGCCTGGGCAGGGAGGTGGCGGCTGAGTCCCCCGCCGCGGGAGTGTGCGTTAGGTTGGTGTCGGTAGGGTGCACCTCCCTCAGGGAATCTGCCCCTGTCGCTTAAGGGAGAGGAGGCCCCGGGAGGGATGTGGCCGGCACAGCAACTCTCGAGGGCTGGGCTTCAAGGCGGAGCCGGGCAGCGGGAGCAACGCCGCGACCCAGCTGGCTTCCCCCGAGCCCTTAATGAGAAGGGTGGCATCGCTCGCCTCTGCGTCTGGGGCTCCTGCCGCCCGGTAGCCTGCCGTTGGGGAAGGAGGCCCCGCGATGGCTTTGGGCAGGGGGAAACGCCAGGGGGCAGGGAGAGCCGGGCCGGTCTCTGGAAAGCGCTGGGAGCTGTGGTGGCGGCTTTGAAAGGGCCACTGTGTCTTGGCACGGGGAGGGGCCAGAATCGCGTATGGGGGCCAGGCAGTGGCACTGCGGGAGGAGACGTAGGGCACAGAGAGACCTTCCTGCCAGCAGTGGGCTCCTGAGGGGATGGGAGTGTGGAGGAATCCCGTTGCCTTCCCAGCAGCCTGGTCAGGGTGATGCCCACCCCAGCCGACTGCGCTCCTGGACACCAGCGGAGACTTGCACGTCTGAGGAGAGGGCCAGCTAGGCTGGCATCTGGCTGAGATGGCTTGGCGCAGGCTTGCCTTAGTCAGCCTGCTTGGGCTTTGCTTGACCAGCTGCCTCCTGTGTCCTGCTCACGGCTGTGGCCCTGGCAGGGGGCCGGTGGGACGGAAGCAGTCCAGCCGCAGAAGCCTGGCCCCGCTGCAGTACAAGCAGTTTGTGCCCAATGTGGCGGAACAGACCCTTGGGGCCAGTGGCAAAGCCGAGGGCAAAATCAGTCGCCGCTCGGAAAGCTTCAAGGTCCTGGTGCCCAACTACAACCCTGACATCATCTTTAAGGATGAAGAGAATACAGGTGCAGACCGGTTGATGACAGAGGTGGGTGCTCCTCAGGGGCAAGGGTGGTGCCTGGCTGCCCAGCAAGCTTGGGGTGCCAGGTTCAGCCCTGGCACGTGTGAGGCGGCAACAAAGCAGACTGACTCTGAGCATAGGATGACAGCCTCTCCTTTAACTCTTGACTAACCTGAGCAAGTGCACCCTACAGATCAGAGGATTTAACAGCTCTGCAGCCTTGGACCCAAGTACTTCTCTCTTCTCTTTATACATGTTAGCCCCCTGGGGCTTTCCCTCAGCCAGGTTGCTGGTCTTAAATGATAAAATGTTATCAGTCTGGGGTTTCTTTAGGCCGTGATCTGGGAATAGCCCCTTACAGAATGATTCTAAATCTGCAGGTTTAGACAGAGACATTTCAGGGAGCTATTGCTAATTTCAGAAGTTTTCTTCAGAGACATTGTTCTGAGAGGTTGTTTGGTGGATTTAATTTTCTGCCCCCCCCCCCCCGCCTTGGTCTTTATGGCTGGGGACAGAACAGGGCTGGCAAACTAGTGCCACTAGCAAATTTCTAGGCTAATCCCGGGAGGAATGTCCCTACCAAATTTTATTATAATGTCTAAATAATATTTCATACACCAGAGAAGGAAAAACTGCTGCAGGACTCCTTCATACTGCAAACGGCCTGTTTGTTCTTTCTGTTTTTTTCATGTCTTTAAGAAAGACTTTCTTTGAGGCATTTTGATACCAAAGCAAGATATGCTGCCACAAAGATCTATCTTGTGTGTGTACCTATAAAATGCTGGCATTGGCATTTCTTTTTAAAACGTCTCCTGTGTTCTGCTGTGCAGTTACAACATCCACTTGGGCTTCATAGTATCACAGAAACTCAAAGGTACTTCAGTGTTTTGTTGGAAAATGGCCAAATGGGTAGAAAAATGCTTGTTCTGAAGTAGACCAAACCATTGTCAATTGGATTTTAATTTGTTATTCAAGCGTAGATAAACTGTTCTGAGGAGTATTTCATTGTTGCAATTCTTAATTCTTTAGTTTAATTATTAGTGTGTTTTATGGTGGCATGCTGTGTAGTCTTGAACATTTTAAATGTAAGAAAAATGGGAAAACATATATCTCGTTAATCTCTGTGATGGAAACAATGCTGCTTTAGTGTTCGTTAGGGAGAAAAAACAGCCCTTATTAACTCTGCAAAAACAGGAGGAATCCTATGGAAGAGTTACATTTATTATCTTACCAGCTTTCTTGGATCACAACCCATTTCATGAATTATATGAAAAATAAAACTGTGCAAGGTTTATATACACACATTGTATATTGTGAGGGAGAGGGAGAAGAAAAAAAGAATTGCTTCAGAACTAACCAAATGCAATTAACAGTTACATGTGAACCAAACATTCAAGTTAATGTACATTAAGTGATATGTTAACTCTGAGGTAATAAAAGAAGCTAAGGCTGGTACATTTAGAAACAGAAACAATTAGGAGTGCTTCTTTACCATCAAGACCTCAAAGGCCCCCGCCCCAAAAGGAACAAAGCATTAACAAAACCACTCCAACTTTGAAATGAACATTTCTGAAGATTGGAATGGAGATCACAATCGATGTATAGTATGATCAATTAACTCACAAGGCAAGCTGAGGAAGGTGATTGATTTTGCCAGCCTCCAAATCTAAGACAAAACACAGATTATAAGGAACTCAGTTTTAGCCAAAAGTGGTTGAAGGATCCTTCTCTACGGTAAAGGAAAGATATTCATAGAACTCAAACCTCAGTTTTCCCCTGTTGCTAAATATGCTTTTAATTTGGTTCTTTTCTTGCTCTTTCTCTCTTTGGTCTCTGAATGTTCTTCCTGCTCCATCCTGTGAAATAAGAATGTAACTGACTTCAAAACTATCTCCATTTGTTAACCTAAAAGATTCAGATTATCAGAAGGTCATCAGAAGCTATGATACAATGGTCATAATGACTTGCTAATTGATGAATAACTTATTCTTGTTTTTTTTTACCCCATTTTTGCTGATTCATCTGACACGTTGAACTGTACATGAACACATTTGCACAACCTGCTAAGAGAAAATGTGGTTTTCTACTTTGTACTTCAGTAGAGTAGTATGAGCCCTATTGAAAAAAAAAATCTTTCTCTCCCACTTCAAAGGCATTGTATGAAGTGCCTACAAGGCCAAAATAAATTGCAAAAAATAAGTGCTACCGTAATTCTCGGAACCAAAGGCAGATTATCCATTGATGGGTAGGAAGAGTACTGATGTTGAGGGTGCCATTATGCAGAGAAAGAGAAGAATCTATTGGCAAAGGAAGCTGGCTTTTTCCCAGCAGGTCTAATGCCTGAGATTCTTTGATTATAGTCCATCCTTTTATGTTGAGTGGGGAAGGGTCAGGGTTTCCCGTTATCTTTAGTCAAGTTATTTGTAGGTCAAGCTGTGGTTGGAGGTCCACTCCATAGATATGCATGCATGCAATTACAACAGTATTGGCTTTGTTTATTGTGGTAATTTTATTTGAGTCCTCGACTTATGACCTGTTCAAATGTATGATGCTGAAAGAAGGGATATGCAGCTAGTGCTCAAAGTTATGGCCATCGCAGTGTTCCTGCAGCCATGTGATTGTGATCTGGGCTCTTGGCAACCTGCTCACACTTACGATAGGTTGCCAAACCCTCCATGATCATGTGATTTGCAATCTTCCCTGATGGTTTGCTCAGAAAGTCAACAGGGAAGATCGCAAGCCAGCTTGTTTCTCTGTGCAATGTGCCATCTCCCCACCCTGCCCCATGCTAGGTAGAGAAAAGTATTTCTCTCCAGCCCAGGGAAGGCAGGGCAGCTAGAGAGAAAGACTAATTTTCTAGCGCATGGTGGGAAGGGAGCCCATGCTTGAAAAAAGGAAGCTGTGATCCACCATGTTGGTTCTGTGCACTGAACGGAACTGCCTGTTTTCTTTTGGTCGGCAGTTCCTTTACTCCGTTCGTTTAACAATCTGTGTATTCGCTTAGTGGCCAAACATGGGAGAGCTGGGACAGCGGTCATTGAGCGAGGCACTCATGTGAGTGTCTCCCTTAATGATTGCAACCATTTAATGACTATGATGAGCAGATTCCATTATGGTTATAATTCTGCATACCCAATTTGGAAAAGGAGCCTCTCTCCAGGCTTAAAAACATAAAAGAGAAAAGTGAAGGGAGAAAAGAGGAAAAATAACAAGTCCAGATATATAATTGTAATGTTAAAAAAGAGTACTTCACTTGTGGCCTAGAATGTTTGATATAATTCTGGAAGAGGATGGTCCTTCTGGAGGCTGAGGGAGGGCCTTGCTTCCCATCTTATTTGCCTCATCTAATGTGATGAAATGGCTGCTGTCTGGTGAGGGTTGTGTAAACAGCCTCATGACCCAGATTGTTCCCCAAGAAAGGACCAGGGCTTTATCAGGGGACCGCGGAAGAAGTGGAGGACTTCTAAGCCAGAAGTCATAGAATTGTAGGGCTGGAAGGGATCTTGGAAGTCTTCTTGTCCAACACCTTGTCCACGGCAGGAATCCTTATGCCATCCTGAATTGTCCAATGGCTGTCCAGTCTTTTCTTAAAGACTTCCAGCAATGGAGCACCTACAACTCTGGGAGGCAAGCTGTCCATAGATTAATTTCTCTCACTGTCAGGAAATTCCTTCTTAGTTCCAAGTTGGATCTCCCTGTGAGGAGCTTTCACTCGTTGCTAGAAATGTTTAGAAATAACGTACTGAGGACGATTAAAAGTACTAATTTTAATAGACAAATTGATTGGGGCTGTGACTTGGATGGGTGGATGGGGAATTCCCATTTAGTTTTAGATATATTGATCTGTTATAGATGGAACATCCTGAAGTGCCTTTGTTTTGTTTTGGGTTGGTTTTTTTGTTTTATTGAGACACAATATCCATTTCCCTCAATATTACGTGTCTTGGTTAGGAAAGAAAATACTGTATTCATCTGGGCAGCAAGAGAGAAAATGCTACCTGAATAAAACTAATAAAAGAGAAAGAGAGAGAGAGAGAGAGAGGGAGAGAGAGAGAAAGAAAGAAAGAAAGAAAGAAAGAAAGAAAGAAAGAAAGAAAGAAAGAAAGAAAGAAAACACCACCAACTGCTAATATTTTCAGATCCTTAACGTCATCTTTCTCATGCCTTGTTTCATTTGGCAGGAGCATTTTCTACATGGATGTAGCTTGTAAAATGAGGAAGGAGAGGTGAATGTTGTGCCAAATGTCCAGGCTTCTTCCTGGACCAAGGAGTGCTATCAAAGATGAATGGGTAGCATGATACCAGCAGAGATGACCCACCAGATAGATTGCTTTGTGCCTAAATCCTGCAGATGTTCAATACAGTCAATCACATTGTGTCTACAAAAGGTGGATTGAGTTTGGGCAAGAATAGCTATTCCTTTACTTGAAAAACCAGAACATCTTCCTTCAGGCCTATGTGAAGCCTTCCAATGATAGAACATATGGCGGTGAGGGAAAAAAGGACATGGAAGGTGGGAGAGAAGAGACGTGCTTCTCTGGGACAATGACATTTTGCCTTTGGTGGGTAGAAAGCTGACTTCGTTCCAGTTTCCTGCTGCTGAGTCATAGCATGCCATCTGAAGGCAGGGTGGGCTGGCAGCAGGCATTCAACTCTGAATAGCTAAGGGGGTGTACAGAGAACAAAGAGAAGAATTACAGGAAGGTTTAGTTGCTCCTCTGGGGCATTAGAGGCTGCTTTAAGGGGAGACAGGAAGCTGGGTGATGTGGGCTTAAACACCACGAGTATAAATATTCCTTAGAATGACTTCAGGAATGCGTTTGGTTCATGCGCAGATGACTAATAATCTTGCTCCCCGTGTCAGACGAAGACCCTGCCTTTAAAGTTTTGCAGCCGAAGCGAGGAGTGTTTTCTCTGTTTTAAAGTAATCACATAATACATCGGAGAAAGAGGCAAATTGGCACCAGTAAATAGGTTGCCTAAAGATACTTCCACAAGGAGACTCCCTGCCCCACCTGACTCATGTGTGGACATAACTATGTCCATAATCGGAGGTAGTTGAGTATACCTAGGGAGAATATTTAAATTGATTGGAAATTGACAACTGCAAAACAAATATTAACCTCTGTCATCACCTCCATTTGCAAAAAGGCCTCTGGACCTCAGAGAGAGAGAGAGACCCAGAAGGCACTCTTAGTTACTAATGAGGGTAAGTGACTGCACCTAGTGCCTTGTTCATGCTTGCCTCCATCCCTATCCCAAAATAAGTTTTTAAACAAGTCCTGAAAACCTGGTTCTTCCCCCAGGCCTGGGACTAGAGAGGCTGGTGGATCCTTTATGGGATGTTTGTTTGAGTGGTGTTGCGATTTTTTGGGTGCATGACTCAGCTTGGAAACCTCTGTCTTTCCCCTCAGCATGGCTGGCTCAGGAATTCTGGGAGTTGAAGTCCACGAGTCATAAAAGAGCCAAGGTTGCCTACCCCTGGCCTAGGTCTTATGCTACCCAGAGATAGGATGGAGCCAGGCTATCTAGAAATTAAAAGTAGTCCTCAGCATAGAACTATTAATTTAATGACTGTTCAAAGTTATAATGACACTGAAAAAAGTGACTTATGATCAGTTTTTACACTTACGACCCTTGCACCCTCCCCATTGTCATGTGATTAAAATTTGGGTGCTTGACAATTGGCATGAAAGTATGGCAGTTGTGCTGTCACAGGGCCATGTGATCATTTGTAACCTTCCCATTTGGCTTCTGACAAACAATGTCAATGGGGGAAGCCAGATTCATTTAATTGCATAGTTCCCTTAACAACTGTGGCAAAAAAGTCATAAAACGGGGCACAACTCACTTAATAACCGTCTTGCTAAGCAATGGAAATTTTGGGCTCCATTGTCAGCATCAGTTGAGGATTACCTGTAATTAAATATCTAAACCACAACTACGTTCAGTAGTTAATTTGGTGAAATTGTGACAAGCGCATGAAAGTGTCCACAGCATATCTTCAGATTCCAAATGTGCCCTTGTCAAATTTTGCCTGCTTTGGGGGAGGGAAAGAAGCCAGGAAGACAATTTCCAATATATTGAGGTTTGTGATACAAATTATCTCAGTTGCCATGACTAAAAACCATTTGGCTCCATCTTCTGTTCTTCCCATTTTCTCTTTTTATACATTTCATCCTATATTGCTGTCCTTTAATTGCCTTTACATTCCACCTGAAAGAAAGAGCTGCAATTACTCTCAAATTCGTTCTATATCAAGACTAAAATGCTACATACGTCTGTGCAGAAGTAAGTGCAATTGTATAAGGATGGTAAATTGTCTAAAAGTGCAGCTTACATTTTAAGAAAAACTAAAAAGATAGGTCTTAACAGAGACTATACGCCTTTTGTAATAATCTTTGTTACTTTTTTTCCCCTGTTTTAACTGTTTATTTCAGTTTGTAAAAATCCTACCCTCTTTTGGGGGAGGGGGTAAGATCTGCCCAATTCCTGCTGAACCAAATTCTCTTTTATCAGCTTTGCTCTTCTGATATGAGAATAACTTCAAGGTTTCTTTGAACTGCTACTTACACATTTATAAAAAGCAAAAACAAGCTTCTCTTTCAGCCTAAAACTCTGCAGTGAATTTTCCCCCACACTCACATTGCCTTGCCAGGGCAAAAAAAATTATTAACTGGAGCTTTTTAAATCTTTCCTCTCCTATTCCACTCTATGCTCATTAAGGGACATTCAAGAAAAAAAGTGCAATTATCTTTGTCAGGAGATGAGGCGGAAACTTTTCAACTGGTTGGATACAAATTAATCAGTGGAATAGCTTGCCTTCAGAAGTTGTGGGTGCTTGAACACTGCAGGTTTTTAAGAAGAGATTGGACAGTCATTTGTCTAAAATGGTGGAGGGTTTCATGCTTGAGCAAGGGGTTGGACTAGAAGACCTCCAAGATCCCTTCCAGCTCTGTTGTTCTGTATTTTGTATTCTTTTTTTCACTGAGACAACAGCTGTAGCAGGAAACTTATAATTATCTTTGGGGGGCAGTTAGGTGGACTTATTTGACTCTCCTATGGATGTACAATTAAATTTTTCTGAATCTGTATTTTTTTTTCTTGCATGTGAATTAAATTTCTAGTCCTTTTACTTTAAAGACCAGAGAGTAAAAAAAGCAAATGTATTCCTTCTTACTATTCTGGCTAATAAGTGCAAAGTTCATTGGGAGGAGGACATAAGGTTTTAAGCTGATTGTTGTTAAAATTGACCCTAATTTATGATGTTTCTTAAGTTTATATAAAATTTGCCACCTCAAATCCTTTGGATTGGAGGCTTAAGAATGAAGTTGATAAATTCCCCTTTTCAATATATGAAAACTGCACAAGCAGCTAGACTAAATAATTTAGCTACCCTTCATAATGTTTGCTCCTTTTAAGTAGATCAGAAAAGGGATGCGAACAATGCAAAACTGCATTATACATTTTGAGGGGAAAGGTTGGGATGGCTTTTACAAGTGGTCCTTGACTTACGACCAAAATGGAGCCCAAAATTTCTGTTGTTAAGTGAGACAGTTGTTAAGTGAATTTTGCCCCATTTTGCAACCTTTCTTGCCACAGTTGTTAAGTGGGTCACTGTACTTGTTCAATTAGTAACATGCTTGTTAAGTGAATCTGGCTTCCCCATTGACGTTGCTTGTCAAAAGTCACAAAAGGTGATCGCATGATCCCCCCCCCCGGGATGCTGCAGCCGAGGTGGCGCAGCAGTTAGAGTGCAGTACTGCAGGCCACTTTAGCTGACTGTGTTCAGCAGGTCAGTGGTTCAAATCTCACCGGCTCAAGGTTGACTCAGCCTTCCATCCTTCCGAGGTAGGTAAAATGAGGACCCAGATTGTTGGGGCAATGTAAATATATATATACATTGCTTACTGGTGTACACCGCTTAGAGAGTGCTTGCACTTAAAGCGGTATATACCGTAAATGCCGGTGTACAAGGCGACCCGGCGTATAAGACGACCCCCGTCTTTATAGCCGGGCCGCATTCCTAGAACGTCGTCTTATACTCCGGAAATTACCAGTATTTCCGGCGTATAAGACGACTCGGCGTATAAGACGACCCCCGTCTTTGGCGCCGATTTCAGCGCTCGCGGAAGTCGTCTTATACGCCGGCATTTACGGTAAGTCTCATAAATAAATAAATATGAGTTGCCAAGTGTCTGAATTTTGATCACATGGCCATGAGGATGCTGCAATGGTTGCAAGTGTGAAAAACGGTCATAAATCACTTTTTTTCGGTGTTGTTGTAACTTTGAAGTGAATGGTGTAGTCCTCAATTGTGTAAGTTGAGGACTACCTGTATTTTGCTGCTGATCCAGAGCACGGGATGATAGACTTCTCTCCTTTCTGCAACCGGTTTTTGAACAACATCTCCCAGTAGCCCCAACCAGTATGAACTGTGAGGAGGAATGCTGGGAGGTGTAATTCAGCTCCTCACCCTCCTCCTAGCTCAGAGGAGTCGTTGTAAGAATCATCCACCTCTCGCCTTAGTAGGCAGCTTCTAATTCCAGATGGGCAACTTCTAATTTCCCCATCTTCCAATAGGAGCTCAAGAGCTTCCTACTTCCCTGCCGCTCATAGTCCACTGCAAGAAAGCAGCTGCTTGGTCTGAAGCTGCCGGGTGCTGTGGGACCACCAGTGGGAGTCACAAGGAGAGGGGGAAGGCTGGCACCCAATGAGGTCCCATCTATGACACGTCCTATGGTGCCCTTTTCCCCCCTGCGTTGACACCAGTGCCGGGCCTGCGGAATGACTGAAAGAGTTCTTTGTGGCAAAGTTGATGATTTTGCTGTTATTACCCGAGGAGTTTGAATTCTCGCCGAGTTAAGTAATTCTGGGCCTGGAAAACAGCTATTGTACTCAGGCCCAGGAGCCCATGGGAAGCCTCTCGCATTCCTCTTTAGGCTTCTGGCTTGCTCCTTTCACTAGAGACGAAGCTCTTTTTTAAATAATAATAATAATAATGAAATGCCTTTTTCTCCCACTCGCTTCCTGTCCCCCACCCTTTTGCCATTTGTTTCCTCTTTTCGGCATCTCATTCAACCAGGTGTTCTGGTTGCCCGTATCTGGGTCTTAGAGACCCTTGTAGTTTTCATGTCGTAATTGGATTGAGAGAACCAGCACCACGCCTACCGGACACACCCTAATTATCCCCTTATGACGAAACTCCACCCATGCTACACCCAACCACCCCCCCCACCCAACAGCATCTTGGAAAGAGGCAGGGAGCAATCTCTGGCTTTGAAGGACAGCAAAGGTTGTCCTCAGCTTACAATCATTCATTTAGTGACTGTTTTAAGTTACAATGGCACTGAAAAAAAGTGACTTATGACCATTTCATGACTGTTCCAGCATCCCCATAGTCAGTGGTGGCGAACCTATGGCACGGGTGCCAGAGGTGGCACTCAGAGCCCTCTCTGTGGGCACGCGCACCGTTGCCCCAGTCCTAGGCCTTCAGCTGAGTTTTATAACACCTTTTCGCTTTAGGCCTCCGCCACCGTGTGCAAAAAAAAATAAAGGTTCAATCATTCAGTCAATTTCAACTTCTCGTGGGAGAAAAAATCTTGCAAAGTTGGAATTGATTGATTGAACTTTCTAGTTCCACCCAGTCTGCCGTTACCGCCGCAGCCACGCCCAGCCAATGGGCCACACCCAGCCAATGGGCCACACCCACCTGGCACCCGACAATGCATAAGTGGGTTTTGGGTTGTGGTTTGGGCACTCGGTCTCTAAAAGGTTCGCCATTACTGCCCATAGTCATGTGATCAAAATTCAGACGCTTGACCACTGGCTTGTATTTATGACGGTTGCAGTGTCCTGGCCTCATGCAATTGCTTTTTGCAACTTTCTGGCAAGCAAAGTCAATGGGGGAAGCCAGATTCACTTAACAATGGTGCTACTAACTTTACAACTGCGGCAATTCGCTTAGCAACGGTGGCAAAAAAAAGTTGTAAAATGGGGCAAAACGTTAAGTGAGTCTTGCTTAGCAACAAAAGTTCTGGGCTCAGTTATGGTTTTAAGTTCGAGGACTACCTGTAGCTGTTTCTTCCGCCCAGAACTACTATCCTAAGATAATGTAAATGTTAAAAACAAAATAGGAGGCAGGAGTATTAGGTATACAGTGATGTGTCAGGGCTCAACATTAATTGATTCTAGGAGGCGCAATGAGTACCGAAAATGCTGAGTACCAAACAAATTTTTCCCATAAGGAGTAATGTAATCATAATATAAGGCAGCTGACAGCGACTAGTTCTAGCTTGTTCATTGAGTATCAAACAAACAATGAGTACCGGGACAAAAATTTCATGTCCAAATGTGTCAAGTACCAAATCTGATGAGTTTCAAAGCTGTTGACTACCAAGGTACCACTGTATATATAAATGTATACTAATATATTATATACATTAAAAGCATTACATCAATACAAATATATAAATATATATAATGTATTTATTTTCTCCACCTTTATTACTTCATAGATAACTTAAGGCAGTGAACATGCCTAATATTTCTTCCTCCTCCTATTTTGCCCACAACAATAATTCTGTGAAGTGGGTGGGGCTGACAGAGAGGGACTGACCCAAGGCTACCCAGCCGGGTTTCATGAAGTGGCAGAAAGAGTGATTCCACAGGAAACCGGGATGTATGTATAATCTCAGCAGCATAATGCATGTACTTACTTGAAGACACATTTTGCAAATATTTGCATGTGTATATCATATAGATTAACTTTATTCCTAAAGTGTATTCTGTACAATTCATTGTACATAAATGCAGTATTTAGCACTCTGGATACTTAGGAAAAAAAGGTATCATGTGATAAAAACCTACTGTATATCAAGGAAAGATTTAAGTAACAAATGATTGCATCTTGGAATATTTTGTTGGTTTAAAAGCAGTTTAGTGACTTGCGTATTTTATGCAAGGTTTATACAAAGGGTGTATCAAAACAGATCTCGTAGAATTGAATATATTGAATAAATTACCTCAGATATTTGAATTGGTTGCCATTTTTTTCTAAACATTTCTTTATTGTTTGACACACGATTTTCAAATATTCCTAAGTATGGAATATTTTCTCTGATGTTTGCAGACTTCCTTTAGCTCATCTGATGGCCTATATGACTTCCTTCCTTCCTTCCTTCCTTCCTTCCTTCCTTCCTTCCTTCCTTCCTTCCTTCCTTTCCTTCCTTCCTCCCTCCCTCCCTCCCTCCCTCCCTCCCTCCCTCCCTCCCTCCTTCCTTCCTTCCTTCCTTCCTTCCTTCCTTCCTTCCTTCCTTCCTTCCTTCCATCCATCCATCTCACTATCAAGCAAGTCTGGGCGACTTTTGATGCACCTTGTATATTTAAACCATAATTCCTCTCCTGTAAGCCACAGCAGATCTCTTTTTGGGAAAAGGGGTATTGGAACCATGAATATTTGACTGACTCCTTGTAAGGGTTATGAGATATATAGTTTGTAATAAAGAGATAAGTCTAAAAATTGATGGAAGAAAGTAGGGGCAAGAGAATAGGATAGGATTCAGGGTGACATAGGGATAGCTGCTAAAGAAAAGCTGATTTCACCAGAGGGCACTCTAGGGAATGGGACAAAAAAATGCCCACGTATCTTGAGAGAACTTTTAACAGGATGTTATTCGGTTAAGTAATCTTTCATCTGCCTGCTCCGATCTGCCTAGTCTAAATTCAGGTTAATTAAAAACCAGGTAATGAATTGGAATGTATTTTTCTCAGGGCGGTGAGTTGCTCTTTTTTTCCACCTGACTGCTTCAGGAGGGGGATGGCCTAATTTCAAAGAATTAATAGTTAATTGTCAATGGCCAAGATCAAGCCCACCGATCCTCCCACTTTAAAAGTCACCTTTTCCCCTAGTTCTTAATAAACAGACTGTGGAAAAAATGGGGGTGGGGGGAGAGCATAAGGCTATTCAAAAAATCCAAGGTGGTTTTTTTTTTTTGAAAAAGTACTTCAAAAGCAGCATATTTGTACACACACACATATTCAAGCAGAGTTGACTTTGTCTTTTGCATACATGCTGCATTTTTTAAATCTTTTATTCTTGCCTTCACGCTTAGCTAATTATTTGCTTTCTTCTTGTCTGATTTACTACATGATCTTTCTGTTCATTAAATTTAAGAAACATGTAAAGTAAATATGAGGAAAAAAGCTATTACAGACTATTAAAGACTTTTCTTAATTATCCAGGTTTCCAGCTGGAAATGCCCTTGGCAGATAGCTCCATTCCAGTTCATAAAAAAGACGTAATTAATAATGTTTAAAGGATATTTTGTTTTATTGGGGGGTTAATTGAGTTCTGTTACATATATTAAACTCAACTACTGGCAGCAAATAAGAATGTGAATGTGAGAGCTTCTTGATTTTCCAAAAAGAAAATGCTGTACATCTATAGCGTGATCATACAGTACAATATCAGCATATATTTCCAAGATATATATGACAGACTTTGAACCTGGAACCATTTTAGCCAAATCTAAGTGTCACCACTGGGCTACAGGCCATCCCTAGCAAGTAAGGGATAGTGGAAGAAATATTCATAGCATTAACAGTTAAGATTGAAGTATCCTACACCAGTCTCTTATTTCTATTTCTTTTGTTTTGCCAATTCTTTGCTAACAAGAAATAGATTTGGGATACTATATTGCTATAAGGCAGTGTTCTCAACCTTTTTAATGCCGCGACCCCCAACCGGTCGTAAGTCGAGGACTACTCAACCGGTCGTAAGTCAAGGACTACTCAACTGGTGCAGCACCGTTTGCAGAATGGGACTTTTGGCGGGCTCAGCAGGGCAGAGACAGCCTGGACAATTCCTATTGGCTTTTGAAAGCCAATAGAATTAGACTCTATTCAAGAGAGTCTATTCTATTGGCTTTCAAAAGCCAATAGAATAAAAGGGAGTAGCACAGCTAAGGAAAAGGGGAGAAAAATGGCGGACTGCGTTGTTTGGCGACCCCCGTGAAATGGTCGTTCGACCCCAAATGGGGTCCCGACCCACAGGTTGAGAACCGCTGCTATAAGGAATGCAAAGTCACACAGGACTGTCCAGTTAAACCTGAATTACTTTTTCTGTGCAGCTGAAGTGAGGGTGAAAGGAGGCTCCCAAAGGGGAAGCAAAAAATGTAAATCCTGTGGGGTCCTTGATGCTCTATGACAGTGATGGTGAACCTTTTAGAGACCGAGTGCCCAAAAGCTGGCCCCGCCCACGCTCCACCCCCTGTCTTGAGTACATCTTTCACTATGGACAACACTCCTTGGTGCTTCATCCTGATAGTGATATCTTATAATGAAGAGTAATTCATAAGCACAGTTTTGCACTTAATAAAATAAGTATAGATCAAATATCCCTGGCAGTTGGCATATAAATTTAATTATTTTTACGTGGGCCATTAGGCAGGACGAAGGAGAAATTTTCGGTTGTCAAAATTCAACTTGGACCCCCCCCCTTTGCTCCATAGATGTTGGAGGAGAGAGAAGTCCTGCCAGGCTGAAATGTCTTAACAAGTTGTGATGGATCCCTCTTGTACAGGTAGTTCTTGACTTACAACAGTTCCTTTAGTGATTGATCAAAGTTACAACGGCATTGAAAAAAGTGACTTATGACCGTTTTTCACACTTGCGACCGCTGCAGCATCTCCATGATCACGTGATCAGAATTCAGATGCTTGGCAACTGGGTCATATTTATGACTGTTGCAGAGTCCCGGGGTCATGTGGTCCCCTTTTGTGACCTTCTGACAAGCAAGGTCAATGGGGAAGCCAGATTCACTTAATAGCCATGTTACTAACTTAACAACTGCGGTGATTCACTTAGCAACTGTGGCAAGAAAAGTCATAAAATGGGGCCAAAACTCATTTAACAACTGTCTCGTTTAGCAACAGAAAGGTTGGGCTCAATTGCAGTTGTAAGTGGAGGATTACCTGTATTCTAGAAAACGTGGATAAAGATCACAACCAAGATCTTTCTTTCCAGTAGCTTTGTGAGGCACTAAGGATTAAAAAGGGGAAAAATGAGCAAGTGACGAAGTTGAACCTGAGAACGTGGAAATGGCTCTGGGCCAGAGCTGATCAATTGCTGGCACCTTGGGACGGTCTTTCTCCTCTCTATCTCCCAAGCCTCCTTTAAGTCTGTTTCAGTGCAGCTTGAATCTTAATGCCATCTACCTCTTTGCTTCCTGCAGCGCTGCAAAGATCGAGTGAATGCCTTAGCGATTGCCGTCATGAATATGTGGCCGGGCATAAGACTGCGAGTGACGGAAGGTTGGGATGAAGATGGACACCACCTGCCTGACTCGCTGCACTATGAGGGTCGGGCGCTGGACATCACCACCTCTGACCGCGACAGGGAGAAATATGGCATATTGGCCCGCTTAGCTGTGGAGGCTGGCTTTGACTGGGTGTACTATGAATCCAAGGCACACATCCATGTTTCTGTGAAAGCAGGTACAGAGAGAACTCTGCCCCCAGCTGTAAAAAAAGGGGGTGGTGGAGCCAGTGGGATTTGCATGAAGCCATTTTGAAGAGCAGGGTTCCTAGGCTCCATTACCTGCCTGAGCAGAGGAAAGAGTCAGAAAATAGTTTTTGTGAACGAGGGTAGCATCAGACGTGGCACTTTCCCAAATTAGTCAACATATTAATACTTTTGAAGATTTTGTCCTATGTAGAACTGCTGCCCCTTGATATAAGATGAGCAACTATATGTTTTAAATAAATACGTTACACTGTGTTGATTCCTCACCCATTCCATAAATATAGTTAAATCTGTTATTTAAGTATTTCACTATTACTTTTTATCGCCAAGAATCCGAAAGCCAGTCTTAAAATCAGAGCAAAAATCAGAAGGAAGCCATTATTATTCCCATTAAAAGATAAATGATGGCAAGGAACTACCATAATTAAAATACAATTTTTAAAAGGTTGTTTCCCCTTTGTATATGTTGTTATATATGACAGAGGTCCCCAACCCCCGATCTGTGGACCAGTACCAGGCCGTGACATGCCAGAAACTGGTCCACATAAACAAGCAAAGCCCCATCCATGGGATGCAGGCAGCACACAAAACCACACACTCTCCAGTCCGTAGAAAAACCTCTCTCCACGGAACCGGTCCCTGGTGCCCAAAAGGTTGGGGACCTCTGATCTATGACATCCAGACCAGCAATGACCTTGGCACTCAAAAGTCTTCCTTTTTCTTCTCCCTACTGCAAGGGTCACCCTTGGTTTGAGGCCTTTCCCACTGCCCATAAAGTCCTCTGGCCTTGGCATTGATACCTGGCAAGGACATTAGATGCTCTAGGATAGCAGCCCCCAATCTTTTGGGCACCAGGGACCAGTTCTGTGGAGAGTTTTTCCACGGACCAGAGGTGGCGTGGTATTGTGTGCTGCCGGCATCCTGCAGATGAGGTTTTGCTTGTTTGCACAGCCCGGTTTCTGACATGCCGTGGCCTAGTACCGGTCCATGGATCCAGGGTTGGGGACCCCTGCTCTAGGAGGCTCCCAAACACAGTCAAAGATGGGGGGCTTTCAACCTTGAGCCCAGGAGACCGGAACCCAGATGCAGCCCATCTCATGATGTTGCCTGTTAAATTCCCTAGATAATTCCATGGCTATTCGTGCAGGCGGCTGCTTCCCTGGTGATGCGACTGTGACGCTGCCGAGTGGTGAGAAGAGGAGCCTCTCCAAACTGCGCCATGGAGACTATGTATTCAGCGTAGATCAGAATGGAGAAGTGACACTTAGTGAGGTTTTGCTGTTCCTCCATCGAGAACCACACCAGCAGATACTCTTCGTGGCCATTGAGACAGAGGAACCTGTTCACCGGCTGCTGCTTACATCCTCGCATCTCATCTTCGTTGCACGGGACCTAGTCAACAGCACAACGGACTTCTCTCCTGTGTTTGCCAGCAGAGTGTGTGTGGGGGACTCCGTGCTGACGTACAAGGGGGACAACCTTCCTTTACATCCTGCCCGAGTAGTCCGGGTTTGGCAGCAAGAGGGCACTGGAGTCTATGCCCCTTTGACCACCCATGGTACAATCCTGGTCAATGGGGTGCTGGCATCCTGCTATGCAGTCCTCGAAAGTCACCATTGGGCTCACTATGCCTTTGCCCCATTACGCTTTGTCTATGGCATCTTCTCACTACTCTCCCTGAAGGGGGAGTCCAGAAACTGCAGTGCTCAGGAAACGGGCGTGCACTGGTATTCACAGTTTCTGTATCATCTGGCATGGGATTTGCTGGGCCAGGATGTACTTCGCCCCTAGAGGCTTGCTGGGCTGCTTGTTTGCCAGACAAAGTTAAACTCGTGATAAGGGAGACCCTTGAGCATTCGCTTGGCTCCATATTCCTTGCCTTGGCTGGCTAATGATTCTAGAGCTGAGGTCCCTTTAAAAAAGCATCAACCTTTGCAACAGAGAAACTAGCCTATGGCCATGTAGGAGTTGGATTGAGGGATTAGATCAACTGATACCAGTACTCCTGCTGTAGGATGCATATCACAGGCACTGGACTTCCTACAGATGTGTTTGGGGAGCTTAAAAATATCTGAGGCATGCTGGGTTTTCCTAAATTTAGCACAAAGTCAATAAGCCCACTGTCTTAATTTTTAGCAGGTGGGATGGATTTCCTATAGGTGACCTGATCTTCTGGGCTTATAAAACTAGCATAAGGTCAGCTGTGGCTTTTTTTAAAAATCCCCCCTGCAGCAGCTTAATGGGATAAGTCAGGAAGGAGCCAGGTATACAATAGAAACAAGGGCTGGTCATTTCTAGAGGGTCATAAGATTCTTCACCTTCCCTCAGCTTCAGAAATATATTGCAGCATTTCTGTGACATGCATTTGAGGAAAGGTAACAAACAGGTTGGCTGACCCTTCACTGGGCAGGTAATGTGAAAACCTGCAGGGTCTGTCTAACCCATTGCCAGCGGGGCTTTTCCAAGAAGGCCAAGAAACATGCTGTGGACCATAAATGAAATAATGGCTTGTAACAGAATGTGGGTAGCATCCTTATAGCTTGGCATCCCTTTCCTTAGCGAATTTCAACATTGGATTCGAGAAGAAGAGAAGTGAAAGAGGCAATTCCAATCTTTTGTAGGGGAAGGTCTCATAATCACCCAGGCTGGAATGAGGATTGAATGGTGGTACAACTTTTATTTAGTGACCATTTGAAGTTACCACAGCACTGAAAAAAGTGATGGCTGTTTTTCACATGATCATTGCAGCATACCTGTGGTCACATGATCAAAATTAGGACGCTTGGCAACTGGCATGTATTTATGACGGTTGTGGTATCCTGGGGTGGTATGATCTCCTTTTGGGACCTTCTGACAAGCAAAGTCAAGGCAGAAGCCAGATTCAGTTAACAATTGTGTTACTAACCTAACAAATGCAGTGATTCACTTAACAAATGTGCAGGAAAGATCGTAAAATGGGGTAAAATTCACTTAACAACTGTTTTGCTTAGCAATTGTGGTTGTAAGTCTAGGACGGGTAGGCAACCTTGGCTCTTTTATGATTCGTGGACTTCAACTCCCAGAATTCCTGAGCCAGCCATGCTGAGGGGAAAGGGAGAATTTCCAAGCTGAGCCATGCTGGCTCAGGAATTCTGGGAATTGAAGTCCACGAGTCATAAAAGAGCCAAGGTTGCCTACCCCTGGTCTAGGACTACCTGGATGCTGGTCACCATGGGATTTGCTGCCTCATTTCTTTTCTGATATTCTTGGATCTTAAGCAAGAGCCACCTGCATTTTCCTATTGCCGCTATGGGCAAGGGGTGAACGGGAAACTTAATATTTCCTTACGAAAATTAAAATCCATGCCACTCCCTTAAGCCTGCAGTACATTAATGAGATTAACATTTAACTGGCACTCCAGAGTTTTTATTTTTATATTTATATAAGTAGTAAATTAAATGTGGTCGGCCACCTCTTGTCTTGTACTGTAGGAGGTATTAATTGGGTGTTTTTGACAGGGAAATGAATGGGAGGAATAAACTGTTATTTCTGCAGGCTGTTTAACGTCTTCCTTTTTTTTTTTTTTTTTTGCAATAGTATTTTTGTGTGTTTTTAACTAAAGAGAATTACTTTGACTCTGGTGTCTTGATGTGTTTCTTCAAGGATCTGTTTCAATATCCTGTGTAAGGATTGGGGAAGGGGAAGATGAAAATACAATATCTTATGTGTCTTCAGCATTGGCAGGCAATCCCCCTATCTATTAATTGATTGGGGCAAAACATTCTATTTTACACATGAGTCTGTCCCAGAAGTTTGTACTTTTCACCTGGGGTATAGGGCGATTTTGTATTTGCCCATGCCTCCCCGTTCTTTTGATGTTCTGGCGTGATAGGGGTTTTAAATTACATATACATAGAGACTACTTGTCCTCAAAGGCCTATTACAGAGGTAGGCAACCTTGGCTCTTTTATGACTCATGGACTTCAACTCCCAGAATTCCTGAGCCAGCATGGCTCAACTTGGAAACCTCTCTTTTTCCCCTCAGCATGGCTGGCTCAGGAATTCTGGGAGTTGAAGTCCACGGGTCATAAAAGAGCCAAGCTTGCCTACCCCTGGCCTATTATATGCTCAATATACATAGATCCATTGCTCTAACAAACAAAATTAAACAATCTTGCATTCACACAGGTTCGTGGGTCAAGATGGCTTTAGACTTTCTGCACCTTGGTCACCCATATCCTTCCCAGAATGCACTTGGGCCACCTAAGTTTTGGATGGAATCTTCCACATTTCTGCTTCTACTGACTCAGTGCCGAAATGAGACACATCTCTGATGCATTCATAGATTTCTGGGTTCTACCCTCACTGTTGCTTGTGCAAAAAGTTGTAACTATGAAGCTAAGAACTAACTCAGATCAGGCCCGCAGAGGAGTGCCTGTGGTAGAAAGACTGCTGGGAGGCCAATGGAAGCCGCCAATTAGCTCCCAGCCCTGTATCTTCCTGCAGGGTCATGACTTGCTTGCTGGCACAGCTAGTCACGCCTGGGAGGGTACCCAGTTGCCTCCTGCTGGGATGTTTGACTTTGTGCCACCATTTCATTTGCTTCTGATCCTGGTTCGCATTCCTGCCTCTGACATTTGTATAATGAAGGTCAAAAAAGAGCTGGGAGCTGACAGAGGCAACTGTTTACACTGGGGTGTGTGGGCGTGAGGTCTGGCTGGTTCTATGTCCTCCCTTGCTCTGTCTAGCCCTACTTCCCACTCTTCTTGAGTTGCACACTTCATCCCAGTGTGGGTTTCTGGCAAGGGACCAATTGGGCGCCTTCTTAACAGGTGGTGGTGGTGAAGGACACAAAGCCATCCAAAGTCTAAGGGAATGTGCAGCTATAATAAATTTAAAATAATAATAACCTGGGCACTTTGGTAATTTTGAAACCATAACAAATTTTCCTTGTACGAAATTTTCACTAAAAAGTGCATTTTTCCAGCATGTGTTCTCTTTGGTAAGACAGTGAATGACTGACAACAGCAAATAAGACTGCTACCAGTACTAATGGATCCCCAATGTAGTTGCATCTTGTCAAATTTTCTGCACTGCTTTAACAAAAAAATCCAGCTTTGTTACTTAATTTTATTTGGGATCTCCGCTATTAACAGTGCCTGGGAAATTATAATCAGACCTTGAATTTGTATTCTTAGAATACAAAGCTAATTATTTTCCTCTGTGCCTAGAGATGGTGGTAGAAAGTGGATATGTTTATGTAGTCCTCACCGATTGGATTAATACATGAAGTGAAGAGCTCTCATTTTTTTACATAAACATTCAGATTGCATAAATAGGCAGATAATAAATTTTTGTGAGGAGGAGGAGGAAAAATTCTAACAAGATAACAGTGAGAGCCTACTCTTTTTACCATATTTGTCTGCTTGTTTTGAGCAATTCAAAGCTAAATGAATTCCCAGACATTCCCAGGTAGACTGTATGTTACAGTTAAACAAAAAACAAATGGAAGTGGATATGCCACAGAGGGTTCAAATCCATGTTTTTGCATAGACAGAAGGATGTCAAATGTTTTGTGGCTCCAGGAATTCAGAGTCCTGAAAGAAGTATTAAATTGGGAATTCGGCACCCATACCCTTGTCTGTATAAGAGAGCCGGGAGAAAGCTTTGTTGATTCCCCCTCATTTGCAGCAAAGGGTGGGATGATGTTGTGATGCCGCTGGCTCAGTTCCCTTTGTGTTGCCTTTGAGAGCTTTAGGAACTGCCTGTCCATAGCACATGGGATTAGAAAGATGAAAATAATGTGGAGGTCTAACAAGGGTATTCCACCTGCTCCTTTAATCTCCCAGGACCGGCTTGCTTATACAGCCTGTTCCCTACCTATAGTAACCACCAGACTGGATCAGGATCCAGTTTTTATAGGAAAATCATTGGCTGATTATAGATCAATTTAGCTAGGTGTTAAATACAGATGAAGTATAGAGACAGAATTCCAGCACGCAAATATTGACCGATGGAAGTGGATTAAAGCTTCAGGACATCTAAATTTGCTTTATTTTGTACCCTGTAATGCGCCATACTTTATCAGAAGTGCTTTATTGTTTATAATCCAGCTGCACTCTGTAGCAAGGGCTATGTCTCTGTTCACCAGTCAAATCCTAGAGGTCAGTTCCACGATTCACCAAACACAGCAGGGATGGAAAAAACAGCTCCTGGGCATAGCTGAACCATAACTTTTGGAACCAATGGCCATTTGTTATAGTGACTAGGGCTGCTGGGAGTTGGGATTCAGGATCTTCAAGGTTTCTCACTCCAGGAAAACAGAAATAGGCAGTTGTAACTTCTGCCAAGATGCTATATTGATGTAAATACAATAATGGAAAAAAAAAAGCCCAGTCTGAAACGTCATTTAAATGAATAAATATTGCAGGTTAATAAAACAGTGGTCCAGATGTTCTTGAACCACTATTCCCTTATTCCTGACTGTTGGTCATTGCAACCCCCTCACTTCAGAAGGACTTCATGTAATCCAGTCCTTGTATATCTCAAACTGAGGAGAGTGGCATGCTGCTTACAGTTAGCTTTTTTTTCATAGAAGATACTGACAAAAGCTAAATGAATTCACAACAACATCTCATATACATCACAGTAAGTAAGCTGCAATTAAGATAAATACCTTAAACAAGATACACTGACAGGAAGGCAAGAATGTTCTCATCTACGGCACATTCACATGATACGTCTACTTTAGTCCGGCATTACTTGGCATGAATAAGAAATCTGCCAAACAAGCTGAACACTGGAGGCAGCCAGGCTAGTGGATATCCTAGCCACTTCCAGATTTACTTATTTACCCTAGTTAAAAATATAAAATCTATTTCCTGGTCTACTTTCAGGAAATGAAAAAGAGACAGTTAAGGGAAAAAATGTTGCAAAGCATATTTCTGCCAGATGCAAAAAGGGAAGGGCATTATAATAGTGTTCATGACACACAATTAAATGTCCAATGTGCCCACAACATTATAATTTAAGGGGTTGTGCAAACCCAGCCTACACTGTGTAAATTGGATTGAGTTAACTATGAGTAAAAAATATTGAATTAAAGATCCAGGATTACATGCACGGTAAAATATTGATCTAAGAAGGTCAAAGTGCAAAGGTGAAAACCCATAAAACACTTGTTTAATATGATACTAAATTATATTAAGCCCCACTGACTTAAGTGAAAGAGTAAAGCAGGTGTTCTCTTCCACTCAATTAGGGTTTCTGATATGCTTAGTAGCTATTCAACGTAAGTTTAAAGACTTCTCCAGTTTAATGTCCACCAAAAATATTGGAGTAATAATCTTGGAGCCTTGCAGGTCTAGCTGTTAGATTCTTGTCTTACGAAAGATGAGAATTCCAGTAAAATGGGACAATTTCTGATTGTGTGTCTTTTGCTGCCCTCTGGTGCTCTAGCCAAATAATGGAGCAAATACGTTGCATTTAATTGGGAGAAATCAACATAAGAGAACATTTGTAGCTCAAGGTTGAACTGTGGCGTTATTGGTGCTCTCTGAGCTCTGTTGCTTTCTTGCAGACACTTCATTATCCAAATTAGTTTGATAATGAAATGTCTGCAAGAAAACCACCAAGTCCAGAGAGTACCAAGGACCCCACAATTGGGAGAAAAATAAACGGGTTAGTTTTTGTTGTTAAAAACATGTTTAGAAATGATGGTATGTTAATATTTGCAAAGGATATTCCCAACATCGTGAACAGCAGAATTATAACCCTGGCCAAAAAAAAAATAAAAAAAATTAGGAAAGCTGTTTCTTCAAAGACTCAGCTAGCAAACATTGCTCCAGAAGTCGTAATATTGTTTCTTTTCCGGATATCACATGTTGCTGTTGTGATTGTCATTATGGTCCCAATGACACAACTGCTCCCGCTTCCATCTGTTGCCTTTGTTGTTGTTACACAAAACCAGGGCAAGGCCACCTATGAGGGACCTTTTAAAGTGGCAAGTGTTTCATGAATGTCTGAGTCAACCCAGAATGAGTAACTCATTGCATGTAGAACAATTACTAGCAGACTCCTCCCTCCCCTGATCTTGGGATTCTTCCCCTCCCTCAGATGGTTTCTTTTCCAGAGCCTTTTGATAATAATTTAATACAATGCTGGGATATTTTTTTTTTAGCTTTCCTTCTGCTGCTTTTATTCTGTTTTACAGCTCTTTCCATCTGGAATACAGAATTATATTGTTTTGAATGTTATGTACCTTAATAATTTTGAGTTTAAACATTTTGAATGTTAGACCTCTAACAGGAAACAATATACCAATATTTTGCACTAATATAAATAAATGAAGCTCTTGTGTTAAAGTTTGAGAAGCTGTGTTCAGCACGAATGAAAAGACAGTAACCTAGAGTTAAGTTTGGTAGCCACTTTAAAACATTGACTATACTTTTGTGGTTACTTCCTCAGATGCATTAAGCACAGTATATCACAGGACAGAAGTGATATGCAGCCATCTTCCTTGAACCCAACACTATTCACAGGGTTGATAGATTATGCAAATTGAAATTCCAGGACTACAGAGGGCTCCAGACTGAATAAAACCCCACAATGGTAATGCTTATCTCCTTCTTCATTACTTGCAGGAAACATTCTGCCTTAATTTGCTTTAAGGCAGGTATTGCAAAAAGGATAACTTACCCCTGACTTTTCTTCTTCTTTTTAGCCAAATGGAAAAATCTAGCATTAAGCTATCTCACAGCTTATCAGAGGGCCCTCTATCTTTAAATAGGGGAAATGTCCAAAAAGCAAGCTTTTGCATATCAATAGAAGATAGATACCTTGATTACATTTTAATAGCATCAGGGTGGTTTCACTTGCATTTCTGCCTGGGGTACATAAAGATCTTGGTTACTCACTAAGTTGAAATAATCTTTAGAACCCCTATCGTACTATTTCCCTAGTTTATTTCTTTTATTGTGTTTTTGTCTTGTATTTCTGTTTGTTTTATACAGAGAGCTGCTCAGATTCTTCTGGTGTCTAGACTATCATTTGGCTAAAGTGAGTGGATTCATTACTTGAGAGATGTTGTGAAACCACATCCCAGCCCCCCATCTCCAAGATTTGCATGGGCCCTGAGTCTGCTGACTCTTCAGAAAATCTTTAAAAACTGGATTTTTAAGGTTATGAGGATGGGATGTTCTGGGGAACCTGGTTTTGTGTGTTTTGCACTTTCCTAGTGGAGTGGATAATTATTTTTAATATACTATGGTGTCTTTTACTGTACTTTTAAATGTTTTTATATGTAGTTGTATTCCTAGGAGTTATATACCTAGTTATACTCCCCAGAATTATTTGACTCAAATAGACAAAAGAAAAGATAGGACAGCATGTGTACATATGCATGTACTTAATGGTTTAACACAACCAAAAAGCACGTAGGTTAAAAACTACATCTTTCACTAGTGTTGCTTCAAACATTTAAAAGGGCTGTTCTTCCTAAAAAAACTATTAATTTCAAATCTATTCAGTTTCCTACCACTAGGTTTCATAGACTAAAAGGAACTTTTATACATTAAAAAACTATGAAGGGTCCTTAGTGCTCTCTGAGCTTGCTTGTTTTGACATTTCATTATTATTATCGATCATCGCACAGTCAGCCAGATGTTCAGACTGGATTTGGCATTTTGTCTACCTATCGAGTCCTTACCCAGGACCTGGGATAGGCAGATGTGGATGTTTGATGGTATTACAGATATCGTCGCAGGATGGAAGCAGTTCCTAATAAGGCCGCTTTTTGCAACTGACTAATAGCGAATTTGTCAATGCCAATGGTGTTCAAGTGGTGCTCCAGTTGTTTTGGGATTGCACCCAAGGAGCCTATGACTATTGGTACTACCCTTGCTTGCTTTTGCCACAGTCTTTCTATTTCTATTTGTAGGTCTTTGTATTTTGTTATCTTCTCCAGTTCTTTCTCTTCTATTCTGCTATCTCCAGGCACTGCCACGTCCACTATCCAGACTTTTTTGTCTTTCTTATCGACAATTGTTAAGTCTGGGGTGTTATGTTGCAGGTGCTTGTCTGTTTGAATTCTGAATTATTATTATTATTATTATTAGGGAAATGAAACAATTTTAAAAAAAGCATTAGACATGCCATCTTTAAAACAATATTTTGATGCCTACAATTACAATAACCTAATTAGGAATTAACATTGAGATGTGTTTGAATATTAGTAGCTAGGGTTGATAGTTGGGCTGTTGGAGTTTACATGCTTAATGGATACAAATTTGTTAGTGTTTGAATACTTAACAGGGTAGTACCACTCCTAATAAGAAATTACCATTTCAAATTTTACTGAAAGCTCATTCCAAAAGTTTGGAAAAGTAAAATATAATCTGATTTTTTCCCCAACCTTTGTTCCTTTTTTAAGTCAAATAAAGATGTTCTTGCTCAGAACAACAAAGAGGAAGATAGAGGATTTTATAGACAGGTATTAACTTGTGACTATAAACCCTTTCACTACTCAATATATTTAGCAACATATTTGATTAAAAACTCTAGATTGGTTTTCAGTAAGTCAAGTCATTCCTCCTAACAATGTAAACCAGCTTAAATTACTATTAGCAGCATCTGAGTAATATATGCATTTAAAAGCATTTCTCTTCAATACTATCTAAAATTCTTCTACTAAGCAAAGCAATTCTCCTGAAAGTCTGTAAAAATTTGGGGATGTCTTTGTTGCACATTCATATCTGATCACCTTTCATAGTATTTGCTACTTTAATGAACAAAAACATTTAATACTATATGGGTGTGTATGTATAGTTGCTCCCTATGGTCACATATAGTACACGTGTATATGATTAGTCTGTTCTGGCATATTTATTTGAAAGCAAATCATGCTGATAAAAAGGCCCTTATTTCAGATAGTCTCGAAGATTTGGGGTTCAAATGAGGAGGACAAGACACAGACATGGTAGGTTTACAGAGGGACCACAGCTGAATGGAGGAAAGTTAACTTTGCCTCAAAATGTCCACAGTAGAATCTTCTATAGTCTTGGAACCGATTATTTTTGCTACAGCAGAATTTTAAAACATGGCTTGTTGAAGTAGCCATAATGACCTGCTTCATACATCATCGTATTATGCCAAAAACAAAGAAACCACATCGCGATTTAATGCATCGTTAAACGCAGCTAATGCAGCAATAAATAGCCAATGCTCTAACCTAATGAATGGCAGTTTCCCCCCTACTAGCATTGACGGTTTAAAAGCTGGCTGCATTCTTAGGATACTGTCGGCAAAAACAAGGCACGAGCGCTCTTGAAAACAACTGGCAAGCTCGCTAAAGCAGATCCCCACATTTCCCCGACTTCTTGATCTGCGCTGATACACAGGGAAGGGTGTTGCTGCTTTAGAACGATCTGATTTTTTATGCACGTGAACCGAAGATCTAGATTTCAGGCAGCGCTTTCGTCTCCCATTCAAATCCTTAGTATTTTAGAATTAACTCATTTGGCATACATGGTTTTTATAGATTCGATTTGCTATTGAGAGGTTCAAACAGCTGGGGGAGCGGGTCGGCGTGCTAAGCCACAAAAGGACAATCGGGGAGAATCACGAGCACATGGCCGAAAGAAAGTCGCTATGCATTTTTATTCGGGAATTAAATTTCACATACGTTCGGCGATGTTCACGCCCAAGCAGGACACGTGTGCGCGCTGCCGTAATCGAAGCCACGCGAGGAGCCAAAGCTTAGCGAAAGCACCTCGGATGCCTTTTCCTCCGCCTGAGAAGCAAAATAAAGGGCGGCCGGGCGCCCAGGGCGCGCGCTTACGTTCAGTTGTATGTTTGGAACCCACGCGCTCCATTCTAGCCGCTCGTACTTTTCATGAATGGAACGGAGAAGTCCGCAAGGCGCACGCGCCTCTCTGCCCCGGGCCAATCACAAGCGCCGGCTCTAGGCCAGTGTTTTGGTCACGTGGGCGTTTGTAGTTGCGGCGTCCCCGGCTCTACTCGGGCGGGCTCTTTATCGCTCGGCCCGCCCGCCTTGCGGTAACCCACCCTTCCTCTCCCCCCCCCTTTTACTACTATCCTTCTCCCCCCGCGCTCGGTTGGCCTTGGAGTCGCTGCTGGGCAATGCCGTTCGTGCGCTATCGAAAGGTCGTGATCCTGGGATACCGCTCGGTCGGTGAGTGGCGCTCTGCCCGGCCGGAGGAAAGCGGAGGGGGCTGTCCGCGGGAGGCACCACGTGGCAAGAGGTGCCGGGCGGCTGCTCTCCTACGAGCGGTGCCCCGAGAGCCGGGCGTGGGCGGGAGTTGAAAGTTCGGCGGGGAACAAAGTGGGCGGTGTGGAAAAGGGAGCCGGGCGGGCTGGGCACGTGCCGAAGCGAGGGCTGGGAGGAGAGCAGCGAAGAGGGGGCCGAGGGAGGGGCGGCAGGTTTGCGCCGTTCCTGAGCGGACCGTGTCTGGAGGGCGACTCGCGAGGCGTCTGGCGGGTGTTGCCTGGCGGAGAGGCGGGAGCGGCGGGAGTTTGCAGGCGAGGGAGGGAGGGAGGGGAGGCGGGCGGGCGAGCGCCAGAACGCCAGGGAGATTCCCACCTTAGTTGCCCCAGTTGCTGGGCGGTGGCAGGGCGTGAAAGAGCCCTGCCGTGTGAAGTCGCAAAAGATGCTAAGCCGGAGGCAACCCTCGGATCCGGATGCAATGACTTTGGAGCGGTCTTAATGTAGTGTGGAGCTGCAAAGAGGTCCGGTTGCAAGGAGTAACAAGAGTACTGTTGATATTAGAGCATCCATATTATTTTGGCCGCAACGATAGGGCGTGCTTTTTGCTTTCAAAGGTGGTTCGGAGATTTGCAGCCCAAATCGGGTAAACCCTGATACTTGGCTCTTCTAAACTGCCCGGAATTATACTCGAAAGTATTCGTGGAAAGGTCCGGTCAAGTAGGCAATAGAGCTCTTAGATGAAATAATAACCTTTGACTTTTAAGAGTGGTCTAGATTTAGGTATCATAGGCTATCCTCCCTTGCTTTGTGGATTTCCTGTCTTTGAGCTTCCTGGGCTTTGTACGTAGATAATTTATCTCTCTGCTGCCTTCACAAGGTGGTTGTGCAGATCAGTTGCTAAAAGGTGGAAAATTGCCTGATGAAAAAACGGGAGAAGTGTAAAAGGTTCCTGACAAACCCACCGTTTGCCTTGCTTTGCATTCTTGGGAGAAACCCTTAGAATAGATAGTCTTTGTGAGAGGGAATGGGATTAATTGGAAGGAATCTGTCTGAACAATGCACATCCTTGCATCCAGTGCTGCTCTTATTAGTGAACAACTTATTTTTAAACAGTTTCTGGAGATAGATTTTCTGCTCTTCGGGCCAAGGTTTAGCATTAGTAGCACATGAGTAGGCAAAACTTGTAAGTAGTGGGCAGCTATTTCCTGACCTTTACTAGTTTGTCCTCAGGGAGCTATTTGTGCCTACCCAATTCCCAGCCCATCTGATCTCCTCTTCCCCTGAAGAGAAATGCAAGGAGTCAACCGGCTATGTTTTCTATTAATCCATATGCAGTGGGAGGAAATGAGCAGAGGGCAAAGGTTATTCATGGGTGTCTGAAGAGTGAAATCATTTGTTTCCTTGGATTAAATTTGCAACATCCTTTTTTCTTCTTCTTTTTAAGTAATTATGTGAAAGGTTCATCTGTATGAACCTCTGTATGAAAAGGTGTTTGAAAAAAATGGAGATTTTTGCCCCTCCTGCACCTAATTGATGTCTATATGTTATAGACCCTGTTGAAAAGTGATGTGTATATTGAGCTGTAATGTCTACACTTGGTTGATTAATCAACCATCTGTGCCTTGTTTGAACAGATCAGAATGGGGATTGAGATATACCAGAACTGTTGTTATGAGTTATTGCAAAAGAAAACACTTCACATTTGGACTAAGAATTTGAGTTACAAACTGATTTAATGTTCATTGGCCCATATCTTTCTGAGTGATGCTGTTTTTGCTAATATATATAAGCAGAGATTGATGGAATCAGTATCATCAACTATTGTATTTTTATGTCATCTTTCCTACAGCACACAACGTATTCCAACCCCACCCCTAAAATAGCCCTATGAAATATCAGTCTGGAAGACAATATCTGGGTTCAAATAATTCAATAATGTTCATACCTAAACAAATATTTAAAATCTCAATTCTTTTTAACTTACAATAACATTATTATACTTATTCTCAAATTTTAGGCACCTCATTAATCTTCACTGCATCTGAAAAAAATGCAACAGTACAGCATCCTAGCTTGCTGTAATAGAGTGTAAAGATCTAAAATGATGTACTGATATCCTAAAAGAAAGCTTATAATATAAATACTAAGCTTGTTATGGTTAGCCAGAAATTGAATACTGTGATTTCTTTGTATTTTGTACATGCTCCACACTAAGATGTACATCTGAGCCAAGTAGCTTAATATGGTAGAGAAATAGGATGCCAAGAATAACATTCTAAATTCAGTTGTTGTGAATCTTCCTAAACAGTTCCTTGGCTAAGTGTGACTAAGCTTTACAAAAATATACTTGTATTCTCCTAACGGTCTCTTGGTATCTACAGCTGGAAACTGTTGGCTAAATTACAGTGATGGATAGCAAAACGGATCAGCTGTTAGGAGTATGGAGTGGTTCTGATCTGACTGGGAAGAGGGGCATTGGAATGAGTGGGAATAGAAAAGTCTCCATTCTCTTTTCCTGGAAACATTCCCTTAGTAGTGGCTGTCCAAACAGATAGGGCTGCTTTAGTGAGTCACAAATAAGTTCATGCTCCTATGGCTTCTGCAGACCTCTAAATCAAATCCAAAAGCACTGAAGGGCTTGTTCTTGCACACTAGAGTGGCACTGAGGAAGTAATATTGGGATTGGCTTTCTTCCTCATCCTTAACTACTTAAATATAGCCTGGAGACTTATGAATTATGTATTGCACGTGTCTTTTGTTGCTAATGTTTTGGTTTTTTTTAATCCTGGTTCATGACAATTCATGAACAGGCCTTGGATCTTCACCAGTGTACCCTTATTTAGGTAGAACATGAGCTATTTTGTTTGGTGGATTTGCTAGCTGAGGATAAAGCAAGTAGTTTGTGGTTTAATATCAGATCCTAGCTGTGGTCTTGTGTGAACTAGGTTATTGTGGTAAGAGAAACCAGGAGACTGAATTTAGGCATGAAAGCCTGGCTGGGTAATTTGGGCCAGCCATATTCTCTCAATTCAACCTACCTCACAGGATTGTTGTGGGGACAATAGGAGAAGGAAGGCATACTAGGAATGTTTGTTGCTTTGGGTTACTTATAAAGGAATAAATGCCCGATAAAAATCTAATAATACCATATAGTGAATTCAGCAGTTGTATTTATTAACCTAGGATTTGGATTTAGCATGCTATATAAACCTGATCTACCTGTATTCAACTATGGGTGTGTCCAAAACTAATTTTCCAGAGAAAGAGAGAGCAGCACAGGCTGCTTGTGTATATTCAAATACAATACTGGTATGCAGCACAGTACGGTACTTATCTATTACCAAGGAGCAATCAGTATTGAAAATGTAGCCAAGTATATCTCAAAACTCTTCAACGTATCCTTCGTATTTATTTTGATGTTAAATCTTCTAAAATGGAAATTCCAAATATAATTCATGATATGACAGGATAGTTCAGTGCTTCCCAAGAGAAATTAGAGGGGAGAGTGTTAAATCAGTTATCATTGGGAGATATTGGAATCATTGGGAGATGGGTGGCGTGCATATTTAATAAGATAAACAATGGGAAGCTTTAAATTTAGAGTATCAGAAATGAGAAAAACCCAGAGGTTTGGTTGCAGATCTGCTATTAGTTGTCCAAAGTATTGTATTCTAGTAGTATAACTTAGGCTTGAGAGAAGGAATCATATTAGTTTAAACCACGGGTGTCAAACATGCAACATCACGTGATGTGTCGTGACGTATCAAGACTTTTTTCCCCATTGCCTGCAATGGGGTAGGCGTGGTTTTGGTGTGACGCATCTGGCCTGCGGGCCGGCAATTTGACACCCCTGGTTTAAACAGTGGTAATCAGAAGTCTGCTGTCACTCAGACACTCGCAGTAATTCCAGATCAATCATTAGTTCAATCCTCTTGGAGCCCATTTTATCAGAGGCAGACAGTTGGTATCATTTAATAGGTAAAATTGTGTTTATTCTTGTCCTCACTCCTTCATAATTCTGATTTTAAACAATGGGACCAGAAAGTCATGAAATTCAAAAGCTGTAGGGTGCAGAGAGAACGTGCTTTTAGTAGAGATTTTTTATAAATCCTGTTTGTGGCAGACCCTCAAATCTTGTGTGGAATGTAAACAATTTTTTATTTAATTCTCTCTTTTGGGTATGTTAATCTTAATCATTGCAGTTTTATCCTGTTACCCTGAAGAGAGTAGTTTTCATTGCTGTGATCAGGATAATATGAATGTTTTCTGTTGCTTTAAATTGTATTCTTCATCACCAATAAATCTCCACAGCAGTATTTTTTTTTTCCATCTTTCCTCTTCAGGTAAGACATCTCTTGCTCACCAGTTCATTGATGGGGAATTTCTGGAATGCTATGACCCCACTGTGGAAAGCAGTAAGTATGCTTTATTGCTGTGCTTTTATTATATGTATTTCTCTCTCTTCCTTACTAGGAAGAAATATATATTAGGGAGAGGAAGGGCTTGATTAGTAATAAGGTTGGCTTACGTAACCTCGATTCCATGCCAAGGAAAGTTGTATTGACAAGTATAAAAAAAGGATATTCATGTTAGCATTGTGTTTGCTTTGAAAGGAAGATGACCCCGATCCCCAAAGGGTTAATAAATAGGGAGAAATGCACATCTTTCTTTCCTTGTCAACCTACAATTGCCATCTCCAGGTAAAACCAATCCTTGAGATTTCTTCTCTCAGTAAATGGTTCCAGCACACTTACATGGGCATTGGCAGATGTATATCTGTGTCTGCCAGCACCTGTTCTTCATAAATGAAAGCCAGGATTCAAAATAAACATAAATATACAGTGAATTAATAATTAATTGTTTACAAAATAAGATGCCCCAATTATAAAGTTGATTGTGGGATCTCCTTCCAACAGAGACCAAAAACATAGTACAGCATCCTGAGATGGGATAAGAGAAGGGATAGTGATTTGGCAAAGGGAAGGGGGAAAATGCACATGGGTGGAGATGAAAGGAAAACCAGTGGTAGTGGACAAGACAAGAGAAAACAAGAGAAGCTCTGTTTATGTCTTGCACAAAATTTATATATGTAGCTATATATGCTACATATATCTAGGCTTTTCAGCACCAGGATCTGTAGCCACTTACACCTCTACCCATTCATACCACATCTTCCTTCTATGGTTTGCAGGGAATTTTCCTGCTCTACCTTGCGATTGACAGGTAATAGTTTACATATTTGCATGATAGAAATTTCCAGAGCTGCAGATTCTGCAGATGACAAGTTCATGACGTTTTAATGCAGTTAATGGAAAGAACATGTTTAGAGTGTTTAAGAGTTATGGGGATGCTTTTTTTTTTTTTTTTTTGGTCTTTCCAATCTCCCTTAAGAATACCCAACCATCTCAGAATGCCGCATAATATTGTAATTACAAAGGTTATCATATTCCATGACTATTCCTGCAGTTGGAAATTGTTATTCATACTATTAAAGTAACTTTCCATAACTGGGTGCCTTCCAGATGTGTTGGGAGTACAGATTCCAGACTTCCAGGTGGCCAGGACTATGGAAAGGAAACTTGGGGAAGACTGTGATGGGATGTGTAAAGGGAGGGCAGCATTTAGTCATTCAGACATTATTTCATTGAACAGGAATTACTATCTGGGCCTGTATCCATTAACTTGGAAGTAAGCAGAGTGAACTCAGTGGCCCAGGGCAGCCAATGCATGCTTAAGTAGGATGTCTTCAAAAGAGAGATAAAAAACTAGCTAATCTTTTATGTGCATGAAAATGGAATGCATTCTCTTAATCTGTTGGGGACAGTCTGGTAGTGATCACTGAAAAATAGGACAAGTCCTGTCCTTTTTATTCTTCCACCAAGCCCCCTGCATCCTCCAGATGTTTACATTCTTAAAGAGTCCAGTACATAGGAAAGAAGAACATTCTCTCTTCCTCCTGGATCAAAACAATTTTAAGCAGAATCGAACAGAAAATGACAGAGATATTGACTTAAACACAGTTTTAACTATGAACTAATTTGCTTGCTGAGACTAGAAAGGTACAAGGTTAGTTATAACATATAGGACTCTAGCACATATATCTCAGAATAGAACATATCTGCTATTTCTCAAATTTTACTAAAATCAGAAAAAAAAATTAAGTCTGGGGCAGAGCGTAAAACCTGAAACATCTCTGAGCATTTGTTTTCTGTTGATTAACAGAGATTCAGTAGTATTTCTGCGCTCATTTCCTGCTTTGCCACAAACCTTTTCCCCTGCACACCCGTCCTTTCCTGTTTTTGTTGGGGGTTGCCCTTCCCGCCCATTTTATTCAGAGAACAAATTTAGATGGTTGTAAGGCAGATTTGCTTATAAATCTGTTGTTCTGTCCTCTGAAATACTTAAGTTAGTTTCTCGAGGCTTAAGGCAAGGATCACGCATGGGGAGGGGAAGGTTTAACTAATGAAAGCTTTTACTGGAGCATAGCTAATTTAGCAATACATTGTTAAAAGAGTTGATGTATGTATATTATGTCTCATATAATATCTCATAAATGGAACATTTTTTACAAGTCACCGGGGATGCAGTAAAAGCATTCTTTAATCCTGTTAGTTGCCTCTCCCACTAAGCAGAGGACCACATTGTGATTTTGTTCCTCTGCTTCCTATAAACAATATGTTTACACCTAAGTTTACAACACCAGTTGCATCACAGTAGCTCCTCCAAACCCTGGATTATGACACTCAAGCCGCCTTATTTTTAATTCAGTGGGACATCCTCTGCAGGTGCTAGACAATTGTCCCATCATTTCACTGTGTCACCACAATATGTGAACCTTCTTCCTTGCCGATATAAATCCTGACAGCTGACAAGTGGGCATGTTGTTTCTGCTGAAGATTTGTTGTAATTGCCTCGCCAACTTTGGAAACATCAGCTACAATTAAACCTAGCTGATTTCTACCATCCTTTACAAACAAAAACCGCAACACAATTGCTTTGGCGGGTGACGCAACAAAAGATATTAGCAAATCTCTCTCTCTCCCTCCCTCCCTCCCTCTCCTCATCTATTTATCATCTACCTAATTATTTACAGTATTTGCAGTCTTTTGCATGCCTCTATTGGATGAGAGATTTCTTTCCAATGGGCCTCGTTGGAAGAAGGTGCTGCTAGCTTCCCCTGGTCTGATATTGGTTGTAGAAAACACAATGAATGCAGATCTTGGGGAAAGAGAAAAATGTCTAGCCTACAGGTAATCCTCAACTTATGACCAAAATTGGGATTGGAATCTCAATTAATGAGTGAAGTGTTCATTAAGTGAGACATCCACATGACCATTTCACTCAACTGCAATCACGGTTCTCCCAGCTATGGTCATAATGTGGAGCACAGGGGTGCCTCAAAGGCTGGAGAAAGCCCTGGTGACCCCAGCCTGTTTCCTGCCCTGGAAGAGTCAGCCAGCTACAGGGCTCAACAATATGTGCAAAACTGCTGTGGAGCAGGAGGCTTACAAGCTCACTGGGGTATACAAGGTTTCCATGGGCTGGGAGACGTTGGCTGACTATAGGGTCCACTAGTACAGTGTTACTCAACCTTTCTGGGTTGGCAGCTAGGTGCGAGGGGGAGGGGGGAAAGGGGGTGGTTTTGTGTGAGGGGCAGGCATGTGCGTGCACACACCAGCCCACCACTCCCGTGGCCCAGTTGCAAATAGGCCACGGCCTGGTAGTAGGCCATGGGCCTCAGGTTGGGGACCCCTGCACTACCGTGTTTCCCCGAAAATATGACCTAACCATAAAATAAGACCTAGCTTATTTGGGGGGGGTTGGGCTAATATAAGCCCTACCCCCAAAAGTAAGCCCTACTTAACCCCGCCCACTCTGTCCAACCATAGTTCTTTGGCAGGCTGTATCATGTGCCTCCCCTCCCCTTACCTGCTGCCGGTGCCGACGGTACGAGTTCAATTTCGCAGCTCGGCTAATTTGTTCAGTTGCGGTAGGTCACAGTTCCCATCAGATTCAGGAAACCTTAGGCCAGGCTCCTTGCAGCTCTACCAATCCAGCTCACCCGGGGTCAGGTTGGCTGTCGTGGGAGGTGTGGCCTGTCCCCATCCTCTGCCACACATGCGGGACGAGCCTTGTGTGACAGCCAACCTGACTCTGGGCAAGCTGGATTGCTTACAGGAAGAGGCTGCGCATTGCAGGAGGCCTGCAAAGGGCGCATCCAGATCCCTGCAGCACCTGGAGGCTCAGCGCTGCTTTTTGCGTCGCTCGATTTCCCATCCCATCCCCGCCAGGCTGATCTGGTGGGCAGGATTGCCTTCCATCTTCCCCGCCGTTGCATTGGCAACTGACGCTGCCCTCCTGGGAGGTGGCACGATGTTTGGATGGCGGCCATGCTGTGAATGGGATAGAGTAGACGATCCCCTCCAAAGCGCCACCAAAAACAGTGAGGAAAACGCTGTTTGCCAGACACGGCACCAAAAACAGCACCGCAGAAAGGATGTGCAGAGATCCTTGCAGCTCCTGGAGGCTCTGAGTGCAGCCCTGGGGCAGCCATGCTGTACGGTGGCAGGAAGGACGCTGAGGTGGCAGGTAGAGCATTTGAGGCTTGGGGATGGAGGTTGGTGAAGTGGGCGGGTGTCCTACCATCAGCAACCATGCCTTTCCTTACCTGACTCCCAGCCCTGTGCCGTTTCTCCTTCACGATCCGCCGCTGCATGCAAGGAAACAAAAGAAGTTGGGGGGGGGGGAAAGGTCAATCAATCCATTCCAACTTCTCGCAAAAAAAAAAAAGATCACACGCAGTTGGAATTGATTGACCTCCCCCCCCCCAAAACTTCTTTTGTTTCCCTGCATGCGCTGGTGGCAGATCATGAAGGAGAAACAGCACAGGGCTGGGAATCAGGTAAGGAAAGGCATGGGTGCTGATGGCAGGACGCCCGCCTGCTTCATCTCCCTCCCTCCCCGAGCCTCTGGTGCTCCACCTATCACCTCGGTGCCCTTCCCGCTGCTGCCCAGCACGGCCACCAGGGGCTGCAGGAGCTGACCTGATATGGGAAGGGCACGTGCGCCCCGCCCATCCCGGTACTGTACCTGGTCCGCCACCATGCTTTCGCTGCAGCGTTGCTTCTCCACCCCATGCACAAGCCCCACCCCTGTGCGGTCGCAGCCTACCGGTACCGGCAAAAAGTAAGGCCTCCCTGAAAGTAAATCCTAGTGCTTACTTCAGAGCCCAAAGAAAGTAAGACCGGGTCTTACTTTTGGGGATACACGGTACTATGTGTAAAGGTGCCACAGATAAGGGGCCTTGTCTGGCTACAGGGTCCAGCAATGTGTATACGTTGCTCCACTTACATTTGTGTTCTGTAGCTGCTGACATGCACACCCAGCTGATGCTAGCACAACCCTCCTCCAGAAGCCATCTTGTGTTATTCTGGAAGTGGGCGCCATTCTTGCAATTATTTGGAAAGCTCTTCCAATTAATACGTGTTGCTTGGGCCTGTAACTGTATGAGGCCTCCCAGGTGTAATGGAGTGAACAGCGTGATCTTAAGTCCCATTTCTGTACCCTAAGGGAGGAGTTCATCTTCCCTTCATTCATGGAAGAGAACCCCTTCTGCGAGCTGGGATCTTCATTTATTTAAGAATGTCAGTTGTCCTCCTGAAATTTCTTTCATCCAACTCCCAGACAGGAGTTCTCTCAGCAGCTGGCAGAAGCTTACAACCTTCTCTGCTGGCTTCCCCAATGACCTTTTGGGGAAGCTGGCAGAGAAGATTGTAAATGATGATTACATGGTTGTGGGTGGCAATCGGTCATAAAAGTGAACTGAAGTGCCTGAAATGCGGTCATGTGACTATAAGTAGAGTAGCATAACATTTTATGATAATGAGAAGTGCTTTACAAACTCTAAAGCATCCTTTTTGAGGCCATCATAGCTTCAAATGATTGTCAATCAAGGAACTACCAAGGACACACCCATCAACACTGACAGGGCAAACTGCTAGTATACAAAAATAAGAACAAACCCCTCTCCCTAGCACTGATGATGTTACCTAGTTTGGTATTGAAACATCTGCGAGAAAACTGCCAAGCTCGGAGCGCACCAAGGATCCCATAGATTGTTAAACAACCAATCATAAGTTGAGGACTACCTGTAGTTCTAGGCCCGGGGTAAGCAACCTTGGCTCTTTTATGACTCATGGACTTCAACTCCCAGAATTCCTGGGCCAGCCATGCTGAGGGAAAAGGGAGAGGTTTACAAGCTGAGCCATGCTGGCTCAGGAATTCTGGGAATTGAAGTCCATGAGTCATAAAAGAGCCAAAGTTGCCTACCCCTGTTATAGGCCAAAGCTGGCTTTGGCCCAAGGAAAAACTGAGGAGGCAGCAGAATCAAAATGACTCAAATGCAGAGAAGCTCAGAATGTTGTTGAATTTTAGGAAGGGTTCAGAGAGGCCCAAGTAACATCCCTATCGTCTACTTTCTTCCTTCCCTTTTGTTTTAAGCTTACAACAAAATGTTGATGGTGGGAAAGGATGAATTCCACTTGCAGCTTGTGGACACTGCGGGACAGGTAATTTTTTTTCATCATTTCACATACAAATGGGAATGTGGCCTTTCTTGCTCATCACCTGTCATAAGAGATAAACAGTTTGCATCTTAATGCTGCTGGCTTGGGAGCTATAGTTTGGGGGATGATGTCCTTTAGGATTCATCAGTCTTAACTTTGCTAATGTCCCTTGGGTGTCAAGCAATCACCTCAGAATTTCAATATCCATTGGCTTGAAACTCTGCTTTCACAAACTACTTATTCAGAAAAGCATAATATATGCACTTGGCATTAGAAATGATCTGTTCCTGAATTAAAAATTCCACTTAGTTGGTGTCTTTCAACAATCTTGTGGAGCAGCGGCTCCCGACTTTTTGGCACCAGAGACTGGTTTCGTGGAAGACAATTTTTCCGTGGACCGGGGGGGAAGGGTTATGGTTTCGCTTACTTGCCCACCATTCACCTATAGTCGTGTGGCCTAGTTTTCTAACAGGGATTGGGGATTCCTTTTCTTCTTCTGTGTTTTACCCAGGATGAATACACTATATTGCCTCACTCGTTTATCATTGGCATCCATGGCTATGTGCTGGTCTATTCTGTCACATCTCTCAGAAGGTAAGGGGGCATAGATAAGAGTCTGATTATGGTACAAGGCAGTTGGATGATGAGGTCCTGATGAAAACATGGAAATTGCCTGAATTCTGTAAGGATCTTGAAACAATGAAGTCCTTCCCTTAATACAGTTAGTCTTTGAGTTATAACCATTAGTTTAGTGATTGTTTAAAGCAGTGATTCTCAACCTGTGGGTCGGGACCCCATTTGGGGTCGAATGACCATTTCACGGGGGTCGCCAAACAACGCAGTCTGCCATTTTTTCCCCCTTTTCCTTAGCTGTGCTGCTCCCTTTTATTCTATTGGCTTTTGAAAGCCAATAGAATAGACTCTCTTGAATAGAGTCTAATTCTATTGGCTTTCAAAAACCAATAGGAATTGTCCAGGCTGTCTCTGCCCTGCTGAGCCCGCCAAAAGTCCCATTCTGAAAACGGTGCTGCACCAGTTGAGTAGTCCTCGACTTACGACCGGTTGAGTAGTCCTCGACTTACGACCGGTTGGGGGTCACGGCATTAAAAAGGTTGAGAACCACTGGTTTAAAGTTACAGTAGCACTGAAAAAAGTGACTTAGGAGCATTTTTCACTCTTGTATGACTGTTGCAGCATCCCCATAGTCAGATGGTTAAAATTTGGACTCTTAGAGAGACAAATAAAGCTATTATTCCAAGCTAAGTCAAGGTTTACCTAATTGGAATACTGTGTTCGTATACCATTTTTTTGTTATCTTCTAATCTAAAGCATTCAGATTCACACTATATTTTTCTGGTTAATGGCTTCCTATCCATAAGGGGCATTTTGGGGATAATGTTTTAAAATGTTTTCTAAATCCATGGCTCACACTAAAGATGTAAATAGCTCTTCTAATCTTCTTTTTTTGCCTCTCCCAGTTTTCAGGTGGTGAAGTCCCTGCACAGCAAGTTATATGAAAGCAGAGGGAAGACAAGGTAAACATTAACATGGCAGATCAGGAAGGAATGCAGCTCTAAGGCAAGATGTTCAAGCATAATACTAGGGAACCTTTGTCTGAAAGGCTGGGGTAGGGAAGGGTTCAGTGGCTTGTCACATCTGTATTAACATCTGGAAATGTTAACTTGCTTACTCCAGATTCTCTCCCAGAAATAGATTCCAGATTGAACAACATTAGTACAATATGTCACCTCTAAATGATGACACTTTTTAGGTTTTATACAAAACAAAGGTTTTACCTAGAATGTACTGATACCAATGCAGAACTGGATTCCTCTGAGCATGTTCAGACTGCATTTCTTTCTCTAGTGTTTCAGAACCTCTGCAAATTGTGTGTGGACTTCAACTCTCAGAATTTCCCAGCCAGCCTGCTAGCTGGGGAATTCTGGGAACTAAAGTCTACACGTCTTAAAACTTGCAGAAGTTGCAAAACATTACACCAAGGAGTAAGTTTAGTAGAACATGTAAAATGATTAAAGCTTATAATCAGGTGCGTTCTTTAAAATATTTTCATTTAAGATATGGGCAAGGATTTATTAGAAAATGCAGATTGTCCTCAATTTACAGTCATTCCTTTAGTGACAGTTTGATGTTACAACAAGACTGAAACAAGTGACTTACAATCTGCCCTCGAACCTGTTGCAGCATCCCCACATGATCAAAATTTGGGCACTTGGCAACCTGCATATATGTTTAAAATAGTTGCAATGTCCTGGGTTCACGTGATCCCCCTTTGTGACTTTCTCAATCTGTTTCTGACAAGCATACTCAATTGGGGAGGGGGAGGGGGATTGGCTTAATGACCATGTGATTAACAATTGGAGTGATTCATTTAACAACTATGGCAAAAAAAAGTCACAAAATCTGGCGCATTTAACAACTGCCTTGGTTAGCAACGGAAATTTTGGTACCAAATGTGGTAATAAGCCAAGGACTACCTGTATCTTCAGGTGCAGCACTATGCAAGGAAAGGTATACCTGCAACCAAAAATTCAGAACTGTCCTAGCCATCTGCAGAATGGTTGCATTAAGTTACAAGCAAGTGACCCCGTAGATACGACTATGGAAGTTGTGAGTGGAGTGGGATGACTTCTCTGTTGGGCATACAAGAAGCAACTTTTAGAAATGTTCCTCTTTTGTTTGACAGGATGCCTGTAGTGCTTGTTGGCAATAAAGCTGATCTGTCATTAGAAAGGTAAGAACTTTTGTCTATTGCTTAAGAAATTATAGCTCAGGAATAAGGATAAAGATAGCTTCAATGCCTTTGAAATGTTGGCTGTAATCCGAGTCATTTTTCTTTTCAAAGGTGTCTGAATTCTAGAATCAGACAATTTTTCTGGATGGAAGAATTTTGGAAGTTTTGGAGCACATTTGCAAAATATTTGCAATGTGTGGGAGTAGGGGGTAGAGTTTTTTTAGCTACTTATTTCTAAACAGGCTTCCATTTTCAATTCCCTCGCCATAATTTCTCATCTCTACTGGCATTTCTTAGAGCAGGCTTAGAATAAAAGTTGTCACTGCCTTCAAAGGACGTTCTTTGATTTTCTTATAATCCTGAAAACCTTTTCTCACATTAATTTTTACATACTTTTCCCCCCCTCTTGACAGGCCTGGGCAGAAAAGTTTTCTCTCTGTTTTTATGAATAGCACCTTGTATGTACCAATGGCTATATCCACATTCCTGCCATTCCAAAGAAGAATTTTATCTTAATTAGTCCCTTTTTGTAAATAATTATAAACTCTTATGGATCTGGCTTTAGGGATAGGACTGTGTGTTTCTGAAATGTTTGTCTACATCAAATCTTGTCTCTAGAGAAAAAATTCAGGTGCATTGTTTTTTTAAAAATTTTTATTTTATTCAGAGAGAGTTAAGGTAAAATACAAACTCTAAAAAACAAAAAGAATTTTTTTAGAAAAACAAAAGAAAAATAGACAAAATATTAAAAAGAAAAGGAAAAATGCGCATTAAAAGTACAAAAGGCAGAAACACACTTATATATTATTCACTCTGGTTGAATACTAATAAATATATTGCAACAATACTAGTTTCCTCCCCCCCCCCTTGGGAAGCAAGCCCAAAATGTACAAACTTCTACTTTTATTTGCAACCAATTTGACTTGTCATCCATCTATCTATGTATAAAAAACAAACTGGTTAACAGGTGAACCAACAGCAAAGTTAAACTTTAAAGCTCTCTGTCGACAGTCTATTATTGTAGTTAGCTCTCAGTGGCTTCTTATCTACCATAAATCGCAATCATTATCTCTGCATTGTTTTTTAACTCAATTCTTATGGGTGTAAAGTTTCTGAAAATTAGCACTGAGTGAAAGAATAGGATTTGTGTGTTTGCAAACTCTCTTATGCTGAGTAGAAAATAGTGTTGAGAAGCCCTGCAATAGTGTTGATCCATTATGATTTTTATGTTGTGATTCTTTTTAAAAAATACATTTTAATTAAATTTTAACAAACAATATCAGGTAACTAAAAAGATAAAAAGGTTTCCCCTGCCCAGCCATTTCCCACTCTAGGAGGCAATCTTCATTTCTGTGGTCTCGTGGCTGGCATGACTATATGCCAGTGGTGGTGAACCTATGGCACGGGTGCCAGAGGCGGCACTCAGAGCCCTCTTTGTGGGCATGCATGCCATCACCCCAGTCCTAGGCCTTCAGCTGGGTTTTATAAAACCTCTTCACGTTAGGCCTCCACCGCCATGTGCAAAAAAAAAAAAAAAAAAAATTCAGTCAATTTCAACTTCTCGCGGGAAAAAAAATCTTGTAAAGTTGGAATTGATTGATTGAACTTTTTAGTCACACCCAGTCTGCCGTTACAACCGCAGCCACGCCCACCCAATGGGCCACACCCACCCGGCACTCGACGATGCATAAGTGGGTTTTGGGTTGCAGTTTGGGCACTCAGTCTCTAAAAGGGTCACCATCACTGCTATATGCTGAGGGACATGGATGTTAACATAAATACAAGATACACAGTGCTTTTTTTTTGTAAGAAAAAAGGTGCCGGAACTTACATCTTTTTATTTAAAAAAATTATATATTCAGTTCTTAACATAAATTTAATTTATTGTATTTAAGGCAAATGTTCATAATAAATTTTACACTAAAAATGACAAAAAGATTTTCAATTCACCAACGATTTTTTAAAATAAAGAAATTATTTACCTTTCACATGTAGTCAATCACTATACATACACCCGTACATGTCAGTTGCGTAATAAATCATAATGATCGCTGCCCGCAGTAAGCACGCAGCGTGTGATCACACAACCAATCACAAACCAAGCAGTGCCACAAGCCGAGCAGTGCCATCACAACCAGTGCGGATGAAGTACGAATGCATTGGACTCGACACACAAGCAGCCCGCATGCACCATTTTAATGATTTTGCTGTTGACTTGCTACGCTTGACAGGGCGATTCAAGTCCACGTGGACCAAATATCAAATTTTCAAAAGTTACTTTTAAAACTTGGAAAATCCATCGAAAAAAGGTGCCGGAACTCTGTTCCGGTGAGTTCTATGACAAAAAAAGCACTGAAGATACATATAGAGAAGAAAACAAGCAAGAAAAAAATTCATAAAATGCAAAAGAAATCTTCTACTATGAGAATAAAGGGACAGTTATTGTACGCATGAAAATTTCCTATAGAGTGTATCTATAAAATATACCAGATTATAACCACTTCTATTGTGGTTATAATATATATGTCCATAAAAGTTATAGAGTTGACTTTGGCGAGATGGGCATCATACAAGTTTGAAAAATAAATAGAAAAAAAACAGAACTCGACTGCAATATGCCAGTGTTGGTGAGGTTTTGTTTTGTTTTTTAATTGCTCCTCCTTTATTTTTAGTCGTCAGGTAAAGACGGATGAAGGCCGGAAACTGGCTGATTCATGGGGCGCTGTGTTCTTGGAATCCTCAGCAAAAGAAAACCAGGTATGACTCTGATGTCACCTAAATTAAAGGGGAGGGGGGAATAAGATACAAAAGCCATAAAAATGCCACTTCAAATACTCGTGTAAATTCCATTGTGCTTTTGGCAGCAAACTAAGGATTTTTGACAGGTTTAGTTTTGAACAGGATGAGTGCATGGGTTAAGTTCCACCTTGAAGAAAAGAGTAGCTAAATTCTTCTTTATCCCAACATCTAAATATAAGCAGATATCCTTGTTCTTTTTTTTATATTTCTTAGTAATTATTTCACCAATCAAAGGCAAACACGGGAACAAAACTAATGGAGAAAGGAGTGAGATTGCTCTCTGTTGTCTCCATAAAATAGGAGGGAAACCTAGCCTTCCCACCAAAATAGCAGAGCTCCAATAGAGTACCAGTCAATGTGACAAGGGGTCAGTAATATTATAAGTATTGTGGTTAAGACAGCAGGCTAGAAACCAGGAGATGGTGAATTCTAGTCCTGCCTTAGCCATAAAGCTGGTTGGGTGACTTTGGGCCAGTCACACACTCTCAGCCCAACTCACCTCACAGGGTGGTGGTGGTGGTTATGGGAAAAATAGGAGGAGGGAGGTATGTTGGATATGTGTGTGGCTTTGAGTGATTGGTGAAAACAACAAAGACAAGATACAAATACAGTAAATATGTTCTCTGCTACTTCTTAAACACAGTTGTAAACTTTTTCTCTTGGAGTGACTCCGACACCATCTTTCTTCCCTGTAGATGACTCAAGGTGTCTTCACAAAGGTCATTGAAGAAATTGATCGTGTGGATAATTCCTATGGCGAACAGCGCAATTGCACCATAATGTGATGCTGCTTTCCCCCATCTGAGGCTGCTCAGCCAGTGGGAGGGTGGGGGTAAAGCACTGATCCAGGCCAATTCAGGGCAGGTATTGTGACTACCTAGAGCCCTGATCAGCAGGCCTGAATTAACTTACGGGTAACTCACACACAGATACAATTATACCTCATCACTGGTCCTCCATGGGAGGCGGCCATGTTTTGCACATTAGTTTGCTGGAAGCAATCCATGTATGTATTTCCTGTACATATATGTGTGTGTGTGTGCATGTGTAACGTATTGCCAAATGTTTACAGAAGTGGGAGCCACAACAGGATCTAGTTAGGATTGTTATATAGGGACTCATCTGTGTATTTATAACAAAAATTACAATCGGCTCAGCAATTTACAAAAGGAACTGTTCACAACTCAGTGTAACGGAGGCAGCTGAATGTAACATTTCCCAGTGGGATCCGCTAAAGGCCAGTAGTTTGTTTGATAGTTTTGCTTTGGTGATAGCTGAGCCTTGGATCTAGGTGTGTAAGTCAGTTTTCAGTTGTAGTTCTTGCCACATGTGGCCTTATTTTTTTTATCAGGGTGAAATTTCATGACGCAGCCTGGATCCAAAGTAGGGTTTTTTCTTTGCTAGAAATCACAATGTGGCTGATGTCTTAGCAGTGCTTAGTCAACTTCTCTTTGGTTATGCAAATAAACAAACTTCTTTAAGGACAATATTTTTGTGGAGGAGAGGAAAGAACCTTTCGTTACATTTCAGTGCACTAAGCACTGTCCTAATTGCATTGAGCCTCTTTGTATAGCAGTTGTCTAGTTTGGCTTAATCATGTATATATATATATATAAAAAGCAAGATGGAAAAGGATACTCCCAAGCCTGACAAACGTTTCCAGGTCTTGCCTATAATTGTGGCCTCTTTTTGGAGGCTTTCTGAAATGCTGCAAAGGAGTTTGTAAGGCAGTAGCTGTAAAAAGGACTTAAGGACTGGGCTGATCTTCAGTTGCAGCAGTGTTTCTCAAACTCGACAACGTTTAAGATACGTGTGGATTTCAACACCCAGAAATCCCCAGCCAGCCACTGGGGAATTTGGCAAGTTGAAATCACACATCTTAAAAGTTGTTGAGTTTGAGAAACGCTGAGTAGCAGGAATAGAGTTGTATTTTGTTCTTCGTGCACATTTTTGGGGGTGGTGGTGGGGGAAACTGAAAAGGGAGGCACTTTCATGAATATGTGTCTATAAAACCCTATAAAACGCTGCATGACCCTGCTGAGGTGCAGAAGCAAAGCTAAGAGGCAGCAGTTTGAGCTGAAACTTTACAATTTTTGACTTCCCCTTTTGCTAAGCTACCTTTTGCCTTGAATTAGGCATGTTAGCTTAATAATGTAACATACATAAATAGAGTTTGTTTGTGTAGATAGATGTATATATAAGAATGAAAAATGAAGCTTTTTAAGTAGTTTCTTGTCAATGAAATGGCCAGTCTCTCTGTTGATCACGTGCTTTAGTCTGAGCCTAAACAGCATTGCTGTGATTTTCCTTTGGCGTCTTTGACTTGGTTGGGCACACATGAGCATGGCATTTAATGCTGGAAATGGGATTCCAGGCTAAAACGGAGTGCTGAACACTGAAGGGAATGAGTGTGCCTAAGCTTCGTGGACTGCAGGGTGAGCCTTTAGAAATGAGCTCTCCAGTGAAGCACAATAAACTTTAATCTAGAAAAAGTGGGGAGAATTGCTTTGATGTTGTGGAAAGTACGTGCATTTTAGCAGCCATAGTCTTACCAAAAGCACATCCTTTATTTTCATAGTTCTTCTTGCCAAAAGCTGGTCCTCTGTGCTGAGGGGACTTGAATCTTGGGCCATCCTCACCTTTTTCTGCAGTCCCTACACAGCTATTTTCCAGATGAAATATTTTTTTTTGATTGTTGTGTCAGTGCATATGTTGGTTTTGGTTATGCTATTTTTCAGAAAAGCTTTTCTTTTAAAGATGTTCCCAGAATGCTTTTTGCAAGACCACTAGGAATGCTTTATGCATTCAGAATGAAATTGGATGCATAGACAGGGAAAGGGATGGATAAAGATTATTGTTAAAAATCCTAGTTTGGGACGAGTAGTCTCCTTGTACATTATTTTCAGTTGTAAAAATTGCTTTTTTGAATGAGAGCTTTGAGATGATAGATGAATTGCTCTCAGAATGAATTCACCTGATCCCTGTACTTGGTAGGTGACCATTCTATAAGGGATTTATTTTGCATTTTATTGGAGTTTCAGGAAATACTGTTTCTGTGTGTTGTTGCTTCATTTCTACAGTGCTGAGTACTTTGCCCAGATCTTGTTTTGAACTATAAAACCTTTACTTCAAATTTCTTCCCGTTAATAAATGTGATTATTACTGCTAGCCCTGAAGAGGAGATGTGTGCAACTTTGTCCACATCTTTTGTCATCTCCTGATCCTTTTTCAACAGACTATAGCCAGGGCTGAAATATCTCACCTATCTTATTCTCTGGATCCTGCAGCATTTCCCCTATTACAGCTCCGTATTATTGTTTTATACATATTATTGGCTAGAAACGTTGCAGTCTACAATCTGGCTGTCAGTTTAAGTAGGAAGCGAGTCATAGATTTCCATGCCAAAATATCTTCAGATTGCATTGCAATAAACTAAAATAAATTGGCAAATTGCCTTCATGGAACAGATAGAAGGCATTTGGCCAGATTTAGTATTCCTAATTAAAGCGATCTTTCCAAACATGGCTTTGTTTTCCAGGAGCTGAGTTTTGGACTTAATTGTCCTTGCACGCATGAAGTCTTGCTTTCAAATTGTGGGTCAGTTAAGGAGAGGGATAGGAGGTAAGCAATAAGCTGGGTGGGAGAAAAAAAAAATTGGGTGTTAGCAAATCCAGGTTCTGCCATTCAGAATGTTGGCTGGCTTTGCCGGCCAGCATCTCTCTCAAGGATGTGGATGCTGAGGGCTTCTTTCCAGCAATGTCACCCGCTTGGAAAGTCTAGTCCGGGGCCCAGAGGAGATGTTTTAAAATAGTGCAGGCTGCCTCTATAAGGTCACTTAGTTGTGGAGTGCTTCCATTGCCCATTTGAAAAGGTGTATAGTACAACTCTGTTATAGAATTTACATGGTTGCTTGCATTTTTTGGAGGAAGCCCTGAATGGGGTGAAGCCTCTTTGTCTGTCCTAGAAACTAATGTTATAAAGCTGTCTGCTTTTGAATGCCAGTTCCCTTGGGGCTGCTTTAATGATGAAAATATAGAGTATGTTTCCTGTGAAATAACTGTTAATGCTAGCTGTGAATTACAGTGTATCAGCAAACCTGGAATTTACACAGTTGGGAAAGGCTGTGTCACATTGGTATCTAGACCTTTTTTATTGCCATGTACTGTATACTCATGATTAACAGGAGCGCATCATACAAGATTGAATTTGATAAATCCACGTGTTTAATTTCAAATCTAGTCTGTTTTGTGTCGGTGAAAGGCAGCCTTGTAGGTGTCCTAAGATAGAAGTTGGCTTTTCAAATGACTGCCATACAGGCCTGCTTAAGTCCGTGGCCCAATCGATGTTACTGTAGGATGTGATTTCACTCTAGCATCTCTTTCTGTAAAGGTGGATCTATATTTTTGTTTTGCAAATCAGTATGAGGCTTAGGTTGCCTTGTAAGAAACATTCTGGAAATAAAGTTGATGCTAGAGGCTTGTATTTTGCTTTATACTGTGCCAGCTTTTCATTTTATCTTATTCTGTTTTCAGTGTAAATACTCTATTAAAGTGAATCAAGATTGTCCTTTAAATGAGATTTCTGTATTGAAATCAAGAACATTGGGGGGGGGGATGGCATTAGACAATAGAACAAGGATTGGGAGGGAGTTCCTATGCTTTGCTTTGTTTCTGTAATTAAACCCTTGTTTTCCCTTATGACTCCAGCCTCCTAATTAAGGCTGCCTGTACATTCTGACTTATGTATATAAAAGGAGGAAAGACTTTCAAAATGGTTTAAGACTGCAAGGATTAAATTTGCACACTGTACACATGTAACATGTACATGTAACCGTGTTTTAACAAGCCACACCATATGGCTTAATGGGTTTAACAGGCCCCACAATTTAACAAGAGACACAATATGGGTTAGCACAATATGTGGGCCAGGTCATTGATGCTACCTGAATTTGTGGACATTGCAAAGGAGATTTCCTTTACCATCCTGAGAACTGGAAGCAGCAACTTGAGCGTGATGATTTCTGCGAGTTCCAGCTAGGCGTCTTGTTTTGCTATTTCAACATTATTCTGAGCATGGCCTATATTAGAGGTGTCCAACCTTGGCAATTTTTAGACCTGTGGACTTCAACTCCCAGAATTCCCCAGCCAGCCATGCTGGGAGTTGAAGTCCACAAGTCTTAAAGATGCCGTGGTTGGATATCCCTGGCCTGTATGATCAATGGCTCCTGCCTATTTTCGCCCGTGTCTAATGGAAGCCATAAACGCAAATGCACCTCTACCTTTTATCAGCTGTGTTGGGAATTTGGTAATGATCTGCCTTGCTGAGCACCCAAAATTGAAGAAGCTTTGGGCTTCAGGCATCTTTGGTACTTGCTGTATCCTGCTGCCAAGGGTAAAACTAATTTGATGCTAATTGTATCAATTATGTTATTAGCAGCACAGGAGCAGTATTGAGCCAATGCCATCTTGGATTTTGGCTTTCTTTGAGGTTGCATCAACAGCCTTCAAGAATTCCCTGGGGACCAGCCGAATCCCACTTCTTCCCCATATCTGATCCAAAGAGCTATGGGAGAGTTGATTACAGCCATCCATTTCAAGGATGGTGAGCTCCCCCTCTTTCCCTGGCATCTTCCTTATGCATTAGGCTGTGCTTGCTGCACTCAGTGCCAAGTCAGGGGATTGCTTGTGCTCTCTCATAAATCAGGACACCAATGCTGACAGCTATTCTTCTGGGCCAAGAGGGGACAACTGGTAACTTTCCAGATGGCTGAATTATAATTAGCAGCATTCTTCTCCACTGGCCCTGCTGGGAGTTGGACTTCAGCATCTGGAATCCCCAGGTCTTGCCCTGTTTTGGAACTGGATATTTCTCAAGGGGTATTGTGGTCTACCATCATGCCAGGAACTAGAGCTTAGGGCACAGGGATGCAAAATAGTGATAGTTTCATTCTAGAGAGATAGCAGCCATAGTAAAGGAGGGAAAAGGGGCCTTGGAATGATACAAGACGGAGCAAGGCATGTCACATACCTTTTCTCTGTGTCACTAAGGGCTGGAGGATACCTTCCTTGTATGGGAGATTTCATTATCAAATCTGTGTTTGTATATAGAGAAATTGCTTCAATCCACTAACTGTACTGGGCCTTTCTGGAACCATGATGATCTTCTATCATTCTGGCCAGCCTCACTGTTGTCTGTTTAGAATCCACTCTGCATTCCATTATAGAGGAATATTTTTATTGTACTAATACTCTGTTGCAAAAATAGAGGACCCTTCTGTTGGCAACAGGTGTACACCTTTTTAGAGGGCAAGCCTGCAAACTGTATACTTGAAAAGTAAAACTAGTGCTTCCCGAAACAAATGTTCAGAGAGCCATCAATTCCCATTATTTGAAACTATTCTTAAATTTGTCACTGCAGTTGTAAGTGCGGGTGAGTGGGTCCAAAATTTAATCGTGCGATCCTCGGGGCGCTGCAACAGCCATAACTTTGAGAACAGTCATAAATAGCATTTGTTCAGCACAATCATAATTTTGAAAGGTCTAAGTGAGGACAACCTGTGTGTTATATATGTGTTTTGTAAATATGCACATTCAAACATTTTTGAAACCATAAAGATAATTTTTGTTTTAGGTTGCACATACAGTATATACATTAAATATTGGAGTCTACTTAACAGTTTTAGATTTTCATTTTATGGTAAAAACCTATATATCTACCGTGCAGACATATAGGTCCTAAAGTACTCTCTGTTTGCCGATAGGAAACCAACTGGCAACCAAGAGAACAGATTAAATAGCTTTTCCTCCCATCTTACAGTTTTGACTATTAACACATTAATACTAAAATGGAACAAGAATATGGAAGTTTCCATTACTGGAAAGGTGCCATGAAAAGGAACAGATTAAGCCAAAACTGAATAATATTTGGTTGAATATAGTGTGGAAGCCAAACTTCTGATGTGAAGCTTTATAGGTATCAAACAAAGGTACTTTTGCTTCTACAAGTTTTTGCAGTCAAATTATGCTTCTCATGATTTTCACATTGAAATGACTGGTGGTATCTTGTTCCACATCAGTATTTATTGCTCTGCTGTAGTGTTATGTAAATAAAACAAACATGAGAAGGTGTGGGTGTTGTTTTTTTAATCATGGTGCTAACGCTTCTGGATTTCACAGAAATAAAACCAAATTCCTTTCTCTTGGATTTGTAAGAACGGGCTGTTTTCAGATCATGGCATTCCTCAGTAAAGTTCAATAAATGCTTTCCTGACTATTTGAATAGCCACTACATCTGTCTTCAGTAGGCAATTAAATGGCATTAGATATACTTAACAAGTTCAAATACATTTCTCAGCAACAATCTCCCAAGCTTTAGTCCTGCCCATATTTGGAGTGTAGGACTTAACCACACTGCACAAAATCTGATGTGGACTTGACCCAGTGGAAATGGTGTATCTTTGCCCTGCAATATAGATGTTCCAGAAATACGTATATGCTTTTTTAATCTGGCATCTCAGCCCAAAGATGCTTTATAAGAAGTGCTTGCTGATGGTCATGGAGAAAAATATTGCCCTTGCCCTCCAGATGTTTGGGCATTCAGCTTCCATTATCTCCAGGTATAGGTTATTGACACTGATGGCAAAAGAGACATTCAGTGCAAAATATCTGAAGAGCAATAGATTGCTTGTTTTCTGCTTTTGGAAAGCACAGAGGAAAAAGGGTTGTACATAGCCCATCACAGTCTCTTATGACTCTTGATTTTTTTAAAAAACTTCAGATTTATGGTATTCTAATAATCAAGTATCAAACAGATCTAGAAAGTTGCTAATCCTAAACAAAAACTGCAGGGGAGTTTGGTCTTTTGGTAACCAATGAAGAAGTTCTCTTCTAGGAAGGAGACAGCTTGTCTTAAAATATTTAGGCGGAGGTTTCACATCTGAAAATTAAACAGAGCCCTCTAGTGACTAAAAGTTCAATTTAGTTGGCTTTGCCAAACTAGGTTCCATCTCTGTTGGGTTTAAGACTGATTTTCTTTTATCCTTACTGTGAAATCTCTGCTTACAAGCTTCTTTCAGGTTGACAGTCCTGTAGCCTTGTTCAGGCACCTGCAAATCAGTCCTTTGAAAATGTGTGTTAGTCTAATAAAACGACTATCACTAAAGATATAAATCTAGTTCAGTTTTCTTTAATCTGATCCTTTCAATCTAGTAGGTTAACCTTACTGACTGGAAACTCATGAGCTTAAGCAGCACTAGTGATGAAACGACTGATGAATTTAAGCAACAGATCACTGTTATAGTAATAAAATATGCACAATAGCGTTTCCATAGGCACACCAGGACTAGACAAAATTCCAGGGCAAATAATTACACTACAAAATCAAATACCTTAAATACTCTGCAGATGCATGTTTAAAGCCGGGCAATACAATTATTACAGCAATAGCAATAGCACTTAGACTAACACCTCTCTATAGTGCTTTACAGCACACCCTTGAGCAGTCTGCAAATGTCAGCATATTACCCCCAATAATCTGGATCCTCATTTTACTGACCTCGGGAGGATGGAAGGCTGAGTCAACCTTGAACTAGTCAGGATAGAACTACCTGTGAGCAGTTACCCTGCAATACTGCATTATAACCACTATGCCACCACAGGACAAACAAACGTATTGGAAGGAACCAAGCTAAGGCCAAATCTAAGTTCCTGCTTAGTACAGGATTCAAAACTAAAACGTTGATAGGACGGTTCAGTTTGCATTTAAAGTCTACTAGATGAAGAGCTACTCATCATCTCATTTAGCAATTGATCCTCCTGTTGAACTGTTCTTAGTGTTAAGGAACTTTAGCAATCAATTGGAATCCCGCCTGTCTACTACTTGCCTTGGATTTCTGGGCAATAAAGAACAAGACATCCCACCTGCATGGAGGCACCCCTTCAGGTGCTTGCCATACCACATCTGTTCTAAAGGCTATTGTAATAGTAAGTTTCCAATTCCCTGTCTAAAGCAGGACAATTATGTCCTGCAGTTTGGAAACTAGGTAGGGTCAGATTCCAATTTAACCAAAATTAGCCATGTTTCATTTCCTTAAATTTGCTCACATGCAGAACCAGAACAGTAACAAAATTCTAGGCACTGGAGGTTTCTACCTCATGGTTTTACTTTTCCTCCTCGTCTCTCCACCAAGGTGGGAGTAAAGGGTAAAATAGGTATAGAAAAAAATATTTCAGCACTGACCTGACTACTGCAGATTCATTCTCTCTCTCTCCCTCCCTCCCTCTCTCTCTCTCTCCATTGAAAGACATGCTCATTTCATTTTCTAGGTAAAGCCTCTGTCTCATCAGATTCACAAATGCAATCAAATTTGCAAGACCCACATTAGGGTACTGTGACAGAGACGTGCATATTATACTTATCTGTGGTGGATAAGCTGTGAAATATACAGTAGTTGATTATTTTCATAGCATATAGGTAGTAGGAGCAGTTAGCTATTTTTGATATTCTATACATCTGCCCCATTTAAAAATTTTTTTTTCCTATTCCTAAATGCTCCTCTGCATTAAAAAAAAAAAAGGTCTATACAATTTGGCAATTATTTGCTGCTGTTGCAGGAGAGATTTTTGAGTAGTTTTGGCCCCAGAATTCAACCCTTTAAATCAGTCTCCTGTTTTTTGAAAAAAAACAAAAACAAAACAAAACCCTGGGCCAGAGGTGCTTAGTAGTGTTTGAATCTTGAAATAATCCATGTATTAATATTTAAGGGGGAAATCTGGGAGAACAGCAGATGTGGTGCTTGCTAATCTGTTTCTATTGAGAGCACCGAGGAAACTCATCCCATTTGCTAATCCTACTGTTTGTCTGTTGACCTATTGAGCGGAACAGTTCTATGGATGTCCTTTCTGCATGTACGTTTTGAGCAATAGAAATCTGTCTCCTTTTAACACACTGGCCTTGCTGCTCAATTTCCTTAACAGTTAACAAATTATACCCAGTTGCCCAGATAAGTTACACCCTATGGACTCCAAACCATCAGGTCTCACATACGCCTTGGAATTCACCCAGCAAGAAGAAGATTACAGCTATGATAGTAATGCAAATTGGACTATCTCATTCAACCATCAGCAGCATGAATCTAAAAGACAGAAATACAATCAAACTCTTGTTCTTATGGAAGCTCCCCTTTAGTAGGAATTAATGTATGGTTAGCTGCTTTTAGAGTACAATGTATTTATTCAAAATACTTCAAAGACAGCTTTAGAGGTAAAACGGTTTCCAAACCTAAATGCAGGACAATGGCAAATAATATATAGAAAACACCAATAAAACAGGTAACCCAACCAAGAAACACAGCATCAACTATTCAGATAAAACAATCAAGAATGCGGAAAAAAAAAACAGCAAGTGTAAGATTTTAGTAAAAGCTTGGAGTGATGGAGTTATACAATAGAAACCTTGTGTGTGTGTGTGTGTGTGTTTATAAATAAATAACATATTTACTTATAAAATATTGCATTTGTTTATAGATACACAAAGTTTCTATTGCAGAAGCTGCATTAACCACTTCTTTTCTTTTGTTTATTTTATGGAACAAACCAGTAAACATTAAAACATATGCAATAGTTTAAAAAGGTCATATAGTATAAATTACATAGAAGCCACAAAGCTGTGAGGAAGGGATCAGCTGCTTCTTGTAAACTATAGCTTCGGATAAAAATAAATTGCTATCGCCCTTTAGAAATTGGACTCTTAAAAGGAAAGCAATGATCTGTTCATCATCAGGGGAATTAACTATTGAATTAACTAAAGTTAAAAGTTTTAACTGACGTTATACAGAGAGTGGACATTTTAACAGAACAAGGGATGCTGGTTCAAGCTCCATTTTTTAACAGATATAAATCTAATTTTCATACAGAGGTTTGAAGCTCTTTCCGGTTGTAGCCCTGATGGATAATGCATCAATTCAGGCCACAGAAAAAGGCCGCCTATGAAACATAATCTTTAAAAAAATAGCAAGGGAGAGAGCCCAGGAGGAAAGAGTGAATTTTATAATAGAGATGGGAGATTCTGTCCCTACTTGTCAGTTTTGAAAGGTAGTCCAGATAAGAAACACACCCAGGAGTATTACAGTAGTTCTGTCTTTATTTTAAGATTATATTGAGAGAATTTTGCAAGTCTGAAACTGCCCCTCCCTTCCTTTACTTTTACTCCTCTATTTCAATAGGCGGTTAAGGCTCCAAGACATATACACATCCCCACTTTTGATATAGAGCAGTGGTTCTCAACCTTTTTAATGCCGCGACCCCCAACCGGTCGTATGTCAAGGACTACTCAACCGGTTGTAAGTCGAGGACTACTCAACTGGTGCAGCACCGTTTGCAGAATGGGACTTTTGGCGGGCTCAGCAGGGCAGAGACAGCCTGGACAATTCCTATTGGCTTTTGAAAGCCAATAGAATTAGACTCTATTCAAGCGAGTCTATTCTATTGGCTTTCAAAAGCCAATAGAATAAAAGGGAGTAGCACAGCTAAGGAAAAGGGGGGGAAAATGGCGGACTGCGTTGTTTGGCGACCCCCGTGAAATGGTCGTTCGACCCCAAATGGGGTCCCGACCCACAGGTTGAGAATCACTGATATAGAGAGAATGGCTGCATCATCAGTAGCCATGGGGAAGAGGAGGAATAGGAAAGCTTGAGTTGTCAAAAACAAGCCTCAGCTATGTTGTTCATTTAAAGATTGAAGAGAAAGAGGGCAAGATTGCATCCTTGCTTACCTCTTGACAGATAGCAATAGGTTCTGTCAGGTCCCCATTACTATTGCCATTCAGCTTTATGATACTGTAGTGCAGTGGTGGCGAACCTATGGCACGCGTGCCAGAGGCGGCACTCAGAGGCCTCTCTATGGGCACGCACGCAATGCCCCGGAGATGGCAACTGTCCCTCTTCAACCAGCCGCCCACTAACTCACTGAGGTCCCACTTGGACAGATGCATCCCAGCATGGCTGGTTTCCCTCCCCCCCTGTCCCATCCCTCCTGGCCTCACATGCTCTCCTTTTCGTGGGCACGACTCACTGCATTGTCTCCTCAACTGTTGGCCAGCCATGCAGCTCAGAGACGGCTTCTCTGAACTGCTGGGGGCGGGCTGCGGAGCCCCAGAGTGTGCCGGTCAAGGGGCTGGCAGGCTGTGACTGCTGATGGACACTGTCGGCCCCCATGCACTCACTGGCCTCTGTGTGTGGGGGCCGATGGTGTCAGGCAGAAGCCGCCCCGGCCCCTGTCTCGTCTTGCCCTGCGACAATGGCACCCCCGCCCTGCTTCACCTTGCCTCACCTTCCCCTGCAGGATGAGCCTCCTGCCCACCACCGCACTTGCCAGAGACCCCCTGGATCTCCCCCAACCCTGCCCGGCCCCCACAGGTGTCCCTCCACACGAGCAATATTGAGGTGACCACGCCTACCTTGGCCACACCTACCCAGTCTGCCATGCCCACCACAGCCACGCCCACCCAGTGGGCCATGCCCACCTGGCACCTGGCGATAAATAATTGGGTTTTGGGTTGCACTTTGGGCATTTGGCCTGTAAAAGGTTCGCCATCACTGCTGTAGTGTCTTCGTATAATTGTATAATCAATGCAAGTAGATGGCGATTTAATTGTTGAGGCTGTTAATTTTGTCATGAGTTTCTCTTGGGATATAGAGTCAAATGCCACCTTTAGCTCTAGTAAAGTGATACAATTTCCGTTTGGGAGATTATCAGT